AGACGGTTTTTTTCCCGACTTGTCATGCGTTTATAACATGGTGCGAGTTATCGACGGTAAAATTTTAGAGAAATGAGTTGCGAAGGGAAGCAAAAATTACTTCGAGTTAGCGGGAGGTTCGAGTTATCGAGGGTGAAATTATAGTGAATGTAAGAAGGAAATCCAAGGGAAATCGACTTTGGTTCGAGTTAGCGCGAGGTTCGAATTATCGGGAGTCTACTGTATTCACAAAAGTCATAACATACAGCATTTCTTGTCCGAAAGGCTTGAAAAATTTTTGTGCCATGTGGAAGTGACTTTTTTAACGAGAATATGTGGCACGGAAGCACAGAATTGGGATGCGAAGCTACGTTAAATCTTTAAAGAAAATCTTTTAAACCGGAATCTTTGTCAGGTTATTTCGTAACTAACGTTCTCCTTGTAATAGTCTCAAGTCCTATTTTCCTCAGTTTTGAAGGGTTGCTCAACTGAACATCGAAAGTTTATTTCCAAAGTTTACAGGCCTGCTCGATCAATGATTATGTTAATATCAGTGTAATATGGTTACCAAAACTTAATTCAAGGAGGGACAACACCCGTCTTTGATTAGTTTTAGTTGCCTATCATCTGAAACCTTAATAATAACTTCTGTGTCTGTCTTGAAAGCATCTACAAGACCCTACAATAATACGCATTCAAAAAACTGTGTTATTTAGAGTTGAAAGCAGCTTGTACTTTACGGGTAAAAGGTTAATTTTTTCACGCTAAGTTGCTTGGGTAACTGAAGCGATCAAGCATATCTGTTGAACTCACTCAAACAAATTTATCAAAATCATATAGCAAACGTTTAGCAACGAACCATGACATAAACGCGTCCAGCTTAAAACTGTATATCCTCTGCTTATTATGATCAATTTTTATAGTCAAAGTTAAGTTTACCAAGATTTTTTTCTGCAACTAAAATAATCGATTTTTCTGGTGGCACTATTGATTCTCTTGTTACACCAGTTTCACTCCATCCTTCGCAAGTATATACTTTATAAAAAATTCAGGTGCTGGCGAGAAGAAAATATGTCAGAAATTTCGAAACTGCTTAATGGAAATGCCCTATTTTTGCATAGAATGGAGTAGACTTTGTGGGTTAAAATGCTGGAAAGCATTTTGAAGGCAGAATTTAGAATATCGATTGACAAAAGAGTTTTGATTTGAAGACATCATACCTAATGGTCAGTTATAATAATGTGGCTCATGATGTCACATGAAGAAATTCGGATTAAATCAAATTTCTCTTTACCATAGCCCCAAACCGCAATCATATATGTCTATTTGTCCTGGTCTACGTAAAATTTCTTGTTGTATTTTCACGCTGTTCGTAAGAGTCAGTTTGGGATCTGTCAAAGTATTAAATTTTCTCCGATTGCATAACGAGAGTGAGGAGTCGCTAAGCCTACCGTTAACTTTTCCAATTAAGGGTAATATTCACAAATTACGAAAATAAGTTTTAACTTACCGTCCGAAGCGATTGTGGTTTGGATAAAATGAACTACAAAAAGAAGTCGGATCCACCTTGAATTCTCCATTGCTAGTTGCTTTTCTCCTGGCTAATATATCCTCTCTTCACGAACGAGAGAAATGATGGCAAATATTACGTTTGCCCTGATTTCTCTCGCCTTCTTTCCTGAGCTCTACGAAAAAATCGGATTTAATTGTTACTCATTGTATTTTTAACAACACTTTACGGCAACCGTTAGTGTTCTAAAGGTGCAAAATAAGCGGACGAATCATTTTGTCAAAGTTCTGTTTGCATTTTGGCGGTTTCTTCTAGTTACCAGTTGCCTTGAATGGTGCTTTATTGATTTCGTCAAATGTTAGGTGACCGGTTTGATCCAAAAGGGGTTTGATTTCGAAGTAGTATCAAAATAAATTCTACCTTTCATCAGCCTACTTTTAGAATTTAAGAGAAAACGAATTATTACAAAAATTTCTTCCTTATATTTTCAATAACCTTTTTACGTTAAATGACCTTCCTCGAGTTAGCAGTTATTTTAATAGAAATCACGATATAGTAGTTCGTTTATCGCGTACGATTATTATTTTGTTGTTTCACGTTTTCGGTTCAAGCTCTTGAAGTTTGCGTATTTCTTATCACAGAAGTCAAAAGATGGCTTTTTCTTTACAGATCGAAATTAAGGAAACGATGATTTTCTCAGTAAATGATCAATCAAATATATAGAACAGTTATAACTTTCTAGCGTCGGAAGATACGAAAACAAAGACAGATTAAAATATGTTTTCAATCTTACCTTTAAAGATGGGGGTAAAATTTGTCCTTAACTTCTGTCACGTAACCACTGAGTTAAACGTCGCCCTCATTTCGCTGTATCACATCCAACGACATTTTTTCCCTTAAACTTCAAAACCAGCAAATAATATATTCTTTTGTTAAGAAAAATGCGGGCTCCAGATTGACGCATGCGTGTTTCCCAGGCCACGTATATAATCAAATAAGGCATCGACCGTTTGCGCATGGTCGATGCCCCTCTCTGGGATGTTACTGGTCGAAGTTACTAGAGAACTCTTAAAATTTCTGGTAGTGTCACAGGGAGTGACAAACGACGATTGTATTTAACTGGTTTAGCACTTTATCACTCATTACATTGCAATGGTATCTTTGGTTTACTCTGGTTTTCGATTCAGAGGATTGAATCGTCATGCAACACGCCGGGTAATATGAAGAATGAAGTCAGTTTAAGAATCTACTTTTAGACTGACAGCAATTGCTTGATGCAGTAATAAATGGAGGAAAATTATAGATTGTTTAAAACCTAATTTACTTTTTCACTGAATTCAAAGCTACGTTTGGTAAGGAGAAATGCGATTTCTGTGATTCTTAACCTAGCATTCCAACATCATAAACTACATGTACTCTAGCTGACTCCGTTTTTTAAATTTCTATCGACTAGCCTTAGCGCTCATTTTTTATGTTTACAGCTATCAATGAATCACAATCGAAAGAAACAAAGCGACCAAAATTGGCGAATAAATTTAACGGGTTTCCATGTTTCATCTGTTCAGTTTGTTGTCTTTAAAGATCAAGGATTACAAGCGAAAACAGCGAGTGTTTCAGTGTTGATGTTTGTAATTACCGTGGCCTTTTAACCGACAGGTTTTTTATTGAACGAGCTAGTGTCTAGTACATCGATAAACTGGTAGACTGATATAAATGTAGCTACTAGTGTCTGACCCTTTGAGTCGTTTTAATGATCTAGAAGTGCTCGAAAGAGCGAGTGCTTAATTTGCTGCCAACTCAATTCTATGTGTGTAAACTGAAGAAATTAGAAATAAATTATGGCCATCGCAAGGAAAATCTTATATACAGTATAACTTTCAGAAACAACAGCTATAAAAAAAAGCTAGCTTTTATCTTCAGGGTTGACCATAATTTTGACAAGTTATTACATAATCTAGCTGTAAGGATGAGAAGCAGGGATCTAAAGTGTTGTGAGCACTTGGCGGACGCTATGTTGGGTTGACTTTGTGTTGGTTCTCTTCCTTGCTCAAAGAGGTTTTTTCGGTTGCTCTGATATTTCCCCTCTCCACGAAGACTTAGTTAACTTATGCAAATTCCATTTCAGTCTGAAACGGGTGATACCAGTAAATTGGGAATACTTTAAGTTAGTATTACTACTCGCATGTTTTGTCTAATGTTTTCCTCTCTAAGCAACGTTTGTTTGTTTTGGTTAGATGGTGGCCTTTCCTAAAGGAGCAATCTTTGCTAGTGACAGGTACTGATTATCCTTTTCATTCTCGGCCTCAGTAATTTGGCTTATAAATTCGATATATTAAAACGCCGTACATAATTCGCGATCGCAGATCGAGCGCAAGTGCAGCGGCCTCAAGAAAAAGATGCATTCCCTGAAAAACAGGTTGTTGTGAGATCGTAAAATACTCGATGCGATGGTGCAAATGACATGAATTGAAATATATTAAATAAGTCATATTTTGAACCGCAGATAAATATATGAAAGTGAACACGATGATCGCAGTAGAATCATAACAACCTGAGTGGTTGAAAAAGAATAATGCATTGTTAAACACATTAAAACCTTGTCACATGTGTATTCATGTTTCAGTTTTATTTGATACCTTTCAAACATGTTAGTTCTTTTTGATCCAAAACGAAAAATTAAAGCTGTAATTTTTTTACATGTAAAAAGGAAGTTCATCAAGGAAAGTTTTAAAAGTTTCTTCTAAAAATCAAGGCCGTAAGAGGTGAAAACGCAATTCTTCGTTAATTTTCATAATATTAGATCTTTGTTAGTAAAACGTTACTATTGTGTTTATTTATTTAGATTTCCTCTCTATCTTTTAAACTTTTTAGCGTATAATTCAACCAATCTTGGATAGGATGCTTCTCTTGTAGCCTGAATTTCAAGCGATTACTTCGAGTCGTTGTTACTCCCTCCGGTCGATTCAGACGTTACTGAGGGAGTAATAACGACTCGAAGTAATCGGATGAAATTCATGCTACTTCTCTTGGACATTGGAACCCTAATAAGATCAGTAGACGAGATGTAAATCAAACCAAGCATGGCATGTTTGCGGATCCAAAACAGTAAAAAAATTCAAAGAATCTCAGCGAACAAAACTCAGTTTTGATCCTTGAAAAATCTTTCAAATATCCTTCACAACTATTTCTAACTGAGTGTACAGTTTAGTCTTGTTTCGTTTCGCAGTCTTGCTCACAGCGAGCTCCATATTTAGAGCTACATCCATGAGTACTTCGAGGACAGAATAGTACCCAGTCGCCATTTTTTTTTCTAGCAAAGGAATATGGAAAGGAAACCTGACGCGCCCAATGGCGCTTGGGAAGGAGGGTCCTTCCTTCCCTTGATCTACCGTGAACTCACTAAGTGCTTACAATAATCACATTTCCAATGGAGAGAAGCGACTGGGTCAAGTATTACTAGGGGAAGGGAGGCAGGGGATTCGCTGTCATGAACTATCCTGAGTAATATGATCCCAGGATACGCGTTATTTTGATACTGTTGTTGGCTCGAGTAGTAGCTGTCTTGTCCAGCTGAGTTCTGCGCCTGCGAGTCTTGATACTGTTGGTCAGCCGCGTTGTTATAATATCCATTAGCTGTGTTCTGCGCGTTTGAATCCCCATACCGTTGGTCAGCAGCGTTGTTATAATACCCATTAGCTGTGTTCTGCGCGTTTGAATCCCCATACCGTTGGTCAGCGGCGTTATTATTTAACATATTATATCCCGCCGTGCCTTGTGAGTAGCTCTGCTGATCGGCCGTGTATGGGGACTGGCTCTGACTTTGGTATTCATTCGTGGTTGAGGCTGCTTGGTAACCATACAAGGCTTGGTTACTCGGTTGATTGTAATAGGAGTAGTTCGAAGTGGACGCCCTTGTATTGTCGTTTCCTTGGGCAGCAGCCGCTTCTGGGGAAAAAAGACATCGAACATCAAAACTGCCACATCAACACCCTGCAGACCTGAATGGTTTCTTAATTAATTATACTTTAAGACAAATTGTTATTACACAGTCTCTGTATACCATTGCACTACAAACGTTTTACCCGACCTACTAACCTTAACAAGCAATCGCTTCATTAGGGCCATTTATGAGAGAAAAAATGAGATGTCAATTTCTTGAAAAATGCATAAAAAAATGTCTTCACTCAAATGATACAGTTTTTGACTCATGACGACACGCCTTATGTCAGTAACAAGACGCGTCTTGTAAAAATGTCTTTTGATATATAACCAAACAGATTCAAGACAATATTTGTTAAATAACTAACAGTGATATAAAAATAAGCATCATTCAGCTGTCACAAAAAGCAAATTATTAATGAAAGTTTACCATTCGTCCTGTTAAGAGTCTCATTTGCTGGGCCAAACCAAGACTCTGTGGTTGTAATATTGTGATTCTCTTGAAGTTCTGTTGTGGTGACTTCATGCACGGCCTGATTTATGGCCTGGGTCTGGCTGGGATCAATGGTGGTCTGAGTAGCAGGAAATGGATACCAGGGGTATGGGCTTTCTGTGGTTGATTGGGCTGGCGGTGCCACCTGAGAAGGCTGTGGTACTGGCTGAACTACCAGGGGTGGGGTTCCGCCTTCTGTCGGTAACTGAGTAGGTTGCGCAACCTGGGATGGCTGTGGTTGTGGCTGACCTATCACTGGACTTGCGGCTTCCATGGGCGACTGACCAACTTGTACTGCCTGGGATGGCTGTGGTTGTGGCTGAGTTACCAAGGCTGGGGTCCCGCTTTCTGTAGGTAATTGGGCTGCCTGTGTTGCTTGGGATGGCTGTAGTCCTATGGCTGGAGTCGCACCGGATGTGTACGTCATACCAGTAGATTGACTTCCTACAGCTGCTGACTGTGTCGGTGCTACGGACTAATGTTGTTTTGGAAATGTTCATTAAGCATTATTGATTTTACCCACAGAGGAGTTTTGTTTGGGAATGGCTAAGGGAAGGTCAAAGGTTTGTGGGAAGGATTTCTCGTTCCCACCTACCCCTCCCCTAAACCATCATTTTACTCTAAGTGAGAAGTAAGTGTTAGTGTTAGCTTAAGGGAGGGGTAGGTGGGTAGTTTCCCAGAAACCTAATAAATTGATCCGATTTTTCAATAAGGACCTTTAGCAACAATGATGGTGACAAAGGAGAGAAATTCACGTCGTTTATAAAGTTAAGTCGCTTTCTTTTCAGCTTCAAACTTCAACGCGGTTATTCTAAGGTCGCTCAATTAATTGTAAAATATAAGCGAACTATCCTGGAATAGAACTTTTAAAGAGTATAAGACAAGAACTTTCTTGTAGTTTTAAATTCTTGTGTAAAATATGTACCCGAAATTGCCTCATTTCAGTAGATGTAATCAATCTTGTTATGTTACTTTTTATTTAGTTGTTTCTAATTATTTGAGCAGAGGGCCTTTTAACTTGCTGGATAAGCTTAATAGTATTCAAGGGCGACTTGTTTCGTGGGGGAGAAACACAATGAATATTCCATACATTAGACTATTGAAATATTCACAACGTATACAAAAATGTTCAGAGCAACATGGGAATCTCACTTCTAGATGAATAAATGCAAGTTCTTTGAAGTTAAGGTACTGATCATCGTTCTCACCTGTCCAGGCAAAACTATCCCCTGAGAAGCCGATTGATACAATGGTGTCCCTACCATCGTCTGAGCCGCAGGTGTACCAGGGGCTGTCACCTGAGGTACCACAGGATAACCAACACTCGGAGAAGGAGATGGTATGTAAGATTGCGCCGCTGTGGCAACCCCAGATGTGGCTGCAGGTTGTGTCCACGTGACAGCTGGAATCCCTGTAGTAGGAACAGCAGCGACGTTTGCGGCATTTGATGCAGGAACGGCGACGCTTGCCCCATTTGATGGCGATGGGACAAGATACGGTGATGATGAGCTTTCACCCTCTGAGGTCACATTGTTAGCTGCTTCTTGAGCAAGGGCGGATAATGTGTCTGATTTTCCGGTCTCTGAGGTCACATTATTAGCAGCTTGTTTAGCAATGGCGGATAACATGTCTGTTTCCTTATCCTGAAGACCATGATTTGCCTTTTTACCATGGTGACGGTTGAATCTCAAAGCATATCGTGCATCACCTTTATCTAGAAAAGAAAACTTAAATCTTAAGCTAGGACGTAAAGTAAATCTGCCTCATCAGGAGTTCCTGCCCTCATTCACTTCACCTGTCCGAGTCTTAAGATGACTTACTGGTATTTCAAATTTCACTTAGATTCCAAAATTGAGATAGTCACGTGGTAAAGGGAAAGGTAGGAGGCCTAGTTTCAACTGTGGTTACCTAGGCCATAACAGTTACAGTATAAACAAATAATCTCGCTTTAACGTTCTCTAGAAATAAAAGAATTTAGCATTGATAATGATAGATAAAAGGGTTCATTTCACCTGAGACTGTTCACAATTAGTAAAATCCAACTAGTGGTCTATTATCAGTGCTGCGTTCTGATTGGTTGAGCTACTACTGGGCTATATGTTATAGCCCACTAGTAGCGAAAACTGCTAGCTTTTTGGCGGCAAAAAAGGATTCAAGTCTAGCTTTAACTAGCTAAAGTTGTTTTGTCTCCATATTTTTTTGGACAACTAGTTGGATTTTACTAAAACAAGTTCCTCTCGCCCTCGTAGCCTCTTCGGGCTTGAGGAATAATTGTTAATTATATCCTTGCTTTATTCATGAACTCCCCCCAAAGCCGGTAAAGAGAAAATCTAAGAGAATTTGTGGGTGACTGAGCTTCTTCCCAGGAACCGAAAATTGCTTTATTACCTATACACTCTCCCCAGACTCCGTCGTGATCAAAGTCGGATGAGATAGCGCACCATGGATTGCTATGATCTTGATATGTGCAGGTAAAGTACTTTATGCCGTGATAGTTGAACGGGAAAACGCAGCATCCGCCATTGCCGTTACCACCAGCTGTCCACACTCCACACGACGTTCCTATAAAATATAATGAGAATGAACTTGATCCTGGCTGGAAACTTGGCGGATTTCCTGGCAAAAAAACGCGGGGCATAAACCTGGCGGATAACTTGACAAGAATCTTAGTAGGAGATCCCGGAAGGAATCTCTTGGGAAATTCCTGGTAAGAAAATTGACGTGAAAATGGGCACGCATGTTGACGGAAATCCTGGCGAGAAATTTGGCGTAAAATGTTGGCAACATTTGTTTCGGAAATTCCGGCAGTAATCTTTGCATTGATTAACCTCGAAGACTCTTACGTATTTTATTGCATCCACCGGAAAGGCAATGTCTATTATTATTACTCCGGCCATGTTGATTGATAGTTACCTTAATATATTATAAGCAATTATTGATACTGTTACATAAATGGTCATGTCTTGGTGTCATGGAGTTCTAACAGAATGAGAAAAAAACAACACACAAACCATCTTGCATTTCTGGCAAACATTCTGGACAACATTTCCACTTCTTTTTAATGGGTGCATCACAGTTTAAATCCGGGCATTCTATCTTAGTGCACTTCACGTAACCATGTTTGCACCGGCATTCCGGGACACAGGGGCCTGGTGACCACAACTCTCCATGATGGTGAGACTTTCCTTCGTAATAGCATTCTAAATAGATAACAATGCACTGTTTCAAAAAACATTTTTGTAACAGATTTATTATATACTTAGCATTTTTCCGGAACTGCCCTTCCATGAGATAATATTAGTCAGGAAATTGGAACTAAATCGACTCGAAGGGACTAATTTGGGCTTGTCTCAGGCATAATTTGACACCATTTTAAAATAGACGGCAAGCTGAGAGCTACAATGATTAATACCGGCAAGCTGTCATTTAAATTTCTGGGTGGGGCTCTTTTTCGGGTGTTGCAGAAACAATCGTTGGTTCGTTTTTGTGTTGAGGTGTGAGTGTAGTTGAATGACTCTTAGGGCCTGTTTACATGGAGGTGGGTGGCCCCAGGTAGGTAAGGTAAAATATGGCGGGTCACCCCACCTATCATGTAAACGTGATCAAATTAAAATGAGAGATTATATGGACAAACGGGTTACCCCACCTAAGTGGGTTACCTCACCTACCTGGGGTCACCCACCTCCATGTAAACAGGCCCTTAGATCTTTTGTTTTACGTTACTTGGTGATTGCACCAAACAGCAACACTGAGAAACTACCAAATTTCTTTCTAACTTTCTTTTTTCTTCTTCTTCCTCTTCTTCTTTCTTCATTCCTTGACGTACTGCCTACGTATCTCTTTGCTTACAGTTCTGACTCTTATTTTTGTCCAAAACACCCTAAGTAATATTAAGGTGGTAATATTTAAATCTGTACTTAACTCCTACATCCCTAAACCAGACGATGAACATCCCCACTGGCTTCTCTCATTATATTTCCTTAGACTCGGTTCAAACGCAGGAATGTGCCTTTCAGTGTCACCGCGTTTGTTATTCATCATAAAAAGTTTCTACTTTTTTAGTCTTTAGTCTCCTTATAGTTATGCCTTGGCAAAGATAGCCTTTATAAACTTTGAGCCTCCAGATTAATTAATTTCTCAAGAGTGGCCATTTAAACCATCACTTTACTCTGATATAATTCCATACGCTACAGACTAATACCGTTCGTATCTTCGTATCTATAAAAGATCAACTGTTCTCTCTCGCAGCGTATACCAAGGAAATCATATCTAGATAAATAAAGGTCTGTCTAGCTTAGTAGACAGTACTAATATCTGAACACTCTTTAATGCCTGGCAATCTCCAGTCTAAAATAAGAGAATCCGGAATCCTGAGCCTTGGAATCCGGAATACAACTCAAGGATTCCAGAATCCCACTAACGATCAGAATCCAGAATCCAAGCTCCACTGACGAAAGAATCCGAAATCCAGTATCTGGAATCCGTAACCCACGGGTGAAATCTTGAATCCAAGACTCTCTAGGATTCCCTTACATAAGACAACCTTAGTGTTACATGTTCTCACACCTCAGGATAAAATTTCCTATTAAACGTGTCAGAAAGTGAAGCTTTCTTAACGATTCTCAATACCGTACCTTTTTCATTGGTAGGGATTCTTATTGTGACAAACGTAGACTTCGTCTCGTCTTCCTGGCTTGAAGAGTCTGCAGGTTATATGTTTCATCAACAAACAAAACTACAGCAAGAGGCGACAGGTTGTTAAAGGAACTTTTAGAGACAGGTGGCATTGAGACTGATTCGAAACTAAGACGAGACCAGATTATGATAATGGAATAAGAAATATTAGATATTTTGGAGACAAAAAGATGCAACGTTAATCTATTAAATACTAAAAAGCTATACTTACACATGCAGAGAAGTATTTTGTTGTGTCTTTCAGAGTCATTCTGTTTCCGTAACATGATAATTGGCATTTTGTTTGATTTCGTAAACAATTTGTTTTGCCTTTTACGCACTCTCCCAACACAGAGATCGCTACCAGACTGACTTAAACACCAGTGAACAGTTCTTTCCGGTGCGTGAAAAGAGTTTTTTTAGTATAACTGCTATGTGTTTTCTTCAATCGACAGTAAACGAAGTCGATCATTTCTAAACCGATATTTCATAACGTTCCACTGTTGACTAAATTAGACAGGTAAATAAGCGCGCCAACACCTACCATCATTCTCTTTGATATGCTTTTTTGCTCCACCAAAATACACCACGCATATGAGAAGAATTAGAAATTCGACTAGTTTCCATTGGTGAAATATAAGAACCATTTTAAAAATACTTAGATCCCTGTGTTTGGTCGCCACACTTCTGGGATCACGTGACTGAAATCACGGTGGCTTCGTCAATCCGTTTCATTATTAAAGAATATTTGAGTAATCTTGACTTTGATATAGCAGAACTTAGCTGTAATAATAATAATTTAACTGAAACTTTATTTTACTCTTTTTGGTTAGGGCCGGTACAGGGTAAAGAAAGAAACAGGACAGGAAACCAATTTTTCCGCATTTTATTCCATTGGATAGAAAGGATAAACTATTAAAGTGGCTCGATCTAGTATTTTAATAGGCACACCCTCCACCTTTTAATCTCTTACACTAAAACAAATCAATTTTTATTATAAAACCATTATGACACATTGATTATACTTAGACTAAACATTTTCAGTACCATTAATTGATCAGTGTACTATTAAATCCCTGAATTTCGTGTCGATTGAAAACTTTTAAAGTTGTCTTACACGGGCGTAAAAGCGAGTAAATATTGAAGCGATGTCGTAGGTTTGGATGTTTCTTTGCTCTGGAATTTCCTATTGTTCCGAGTTTAGTACAACAACAAATTATCATGCAGCACGCGAGAGTTTATGTCGCTTGGTTGCCTCCGAAAACTTTCCGAAATTTGGTGATTTTGTAGAAAGGGAGCAAAGAAGAGTGAATAGCTGCAATAGAGAAAAAAACCTTTATTTCTACATACCTCATTTACACTCCCTCGCTCGCGACTATTCATTTTCCGTTTAGATTTGCTGTCAGGATAGCGCATTTTGTCTTTTTTTGTTTCTCTTAGCCCAGCATTTTTAGCTTGTGAGCACACCTCGAATAGTGAGACCCATCCTCGGAGACCCAGGGGCAGTCAGTCGGGTCGGGAGAAAAGGCAGGACGAAAGTTTTCAAGTAAGGGCGAAAGAGCCCCTGGGTACCGACTTTCACGGAACTATTTCCAAAAATTCAAGCGGATGCCGCCTCCTGATTGGGCACAAAAATGCTTTGTATTATTGTGCTCAATCGGCGAACAGTTTCTCCTGAGTTCTTTTCGTGAGTTTGTACACGACGGCTAATAGGGAGTTTAAGATCCAACGACGCGGACGACAACTAGAACGTCAAAAAACAATTGGTTTAATTAGCAAAACAACAACTTCGCACGTGCAACACACTTTTTTGTTCATTTCTTTCCCGTTTTTGCACGACTACGACGTGAAAATGCCTAATTTCGCGTTTTATGGAGGACGTAAACAAGCAACGACGAAATTTTATTTCTCTTTCTGAGCTTGAATATGGTCCCTTGAAATTCAGCTTCAGGAGGGTTCGCCTACAATTGACAAAGTAAGTGGGTAGGAATAATCGCTATAAAGACGGAAAAAACTCAAATTCACTTTTTAAGCGACGTTCTTGTCGCCGTCGCGCCGTTGGATCTTTAAGTCCCTATTGTCTCGCCATACTTGCCCGGTTCGTTCACCAAGCTTGTGCGTGCAAGGAAACTTTTATTTTCTACTTTCATAACCAGAAACGAAGGAACGTTTGGGATGCTATCAGCAGGAGCAATTTAATTTGCCCCGAGAATATTCTGTTTTTGACGGATCACAATGTATCGTAAATAATAGGAACTTAAAAGAAGCGGCGGCGACGAGAAAGTCAATTTAGCAATAGCTTCACAAGGCAAAACAACAACTTTGCACGTGCATCACGCTTTTTTGTACATTTCTTTGCTGCCAACTGCACGACTACCCGTGAAAATGCCTAATTTCACGTTTTGTGAAGGACGTAAACAAGCAATGACAAAATTCATTCTCTTCATGAACTTGGATATGGTTAATAGAAATTCAGCTCCAGAAGAGTCAACGCTTGCATTTGGCAAAGTAAGCGAGTTGGAATAATCACGATAGAGACTGAAAAAATGTGAATTCACTTTTCCATGCGACGTTTTCGTGGCTGTCAGCCGTCGTGGTATCTTTTAAAAACTCCCTAGTATTTACGCAAGACGCGTGACCGATGAAAGCGTGAATACGTGTTGTAAGCTCAAGCTTGTATTTTTGGAAAAGCGTCTTTAGTTTTCGGACAGACAATATTTTGAAATCAGATGGGGATTTTATATCAAACTGAAAGTTTCCTGACTGCGTACATTTCTTTGGTACATGAGCCAGACAAACCGTGATTGACACAATAGCCGTCGTGTACGAACTCACGAAAAGAACTCAGGAGGAACTGTTCGCCGATTGGGCACAATAATACAAAGCTTTTTTTGTGACCAATCAGGAGCCGGCATATGCCTGAATTTTTGGAAATAGTTCGGTGAGAGTCGGTACCCAGGGGCTCTTTTTCCCGTACTTGAAAACTTTCGTCTCGCCTTTTCTCCCGACCCGACTGACTGCCCCTAGGTCTCCGAGGATGAGTGAGACCGCACACAAGAAAATTTCACTGCGTGACAATTTCTCACATTGTTCTTTCTAAAACATTACCCTATTTCGGAACGATTTCGGAGGGCAACAAAGCGCAGTAAATTCTCGCGTGGTTCATGGAATTTGATGTTTTGTTAATTGACAGCACGCGCGCAACTCGCTCCTGGCTCTCAGTTAAGAGTTCCGACGTTATAGTGGTCGCCTCTCTCTGTAAAGCAAGGAAAAACCTTTCCTTAAAAGCTATCTAGAAGTCCTGGCTATCAGGATACCAAAAACAAAGGCAAGTAAACTTTTAATCTTCTCCAATTCTAGCTTGGCGCAAGACCCTCTACCCGGCTTGGTTGTTTACGCACAGAATAGACCTTGTAATTTTCAACCCCTCAAATTGCTAGCCCTTTTCTTCATAAAAGGTATACTCAAATACTTCCTCTACAAGTCCATTTTCACTCATAGCATTAATAAAGAGAGCCATTAAACGCCTTAACATTCGTAGTTTGCGACCAACAAGTACGCTAAACATGTTTCAGCCAGTTTTATCAAAGTTTTAGCCAGAAAACTATTGTTACACCAAGCAGTCTCGCTCCATTTTTATAGGAATATACTTCATACAATATTCAGAAGCAGGCGAGAAGAAAATATATCAGAAATTGCAGAACTGCATGCATTGTGTAAAATGCCTTGGCCTTATTTCAGCTTTTTTATGAAGAGAGACCGAAAAACAATAATAAAGGAGGACAATTACATCAATCTTGCCAGTTCAACCTTGGTAACTAGCGGGCAAACTGTTGTCATTATTTAGAACAGAGGATCCCCAATAGCGATTTCAGGATCCGGTGGTTATCTTTGCTGAAGGGCAGGATTCGGGATTTTAAAGCAAAATTAGGGATTGAAATACCACTGCTCTAAGCCAATCAAACTGCAGAAATTTTTCATGTAGTAGTATTACAGGCTAAATCGAGCCCTAACTTATTATCAATTTCCGTCGCAAACTTTGGTCCCACCCATAATTACCCTCTCGATAACTGTAACTTTCACAAAAAGAAACAAAAATAATATTGATATGTATCCATGACCAGAACAAGCGGGATAAAGCTGAGACTTTATTGAAGGCTTTTACATTATCAAAAAGCTTGCTTTTTAATTTAAGAGATGTACGCAAACAAAAATGGTGAAGCAAAGGCTAGTTTCCATTTAGTCTAATCACCAGGGCACAGTCGGTTCAAAAGCCGATTAGCGCAAACCCGGGGTTAAATTTTAATCCAAGTCTCTTTGTTTTTGCTCTCTCAATCTCTTCTCTTTAGAGCGTCCAATCATAAAATTGAAGACAAAAAGAATTAAGATGTATTTGCTCTTAAATGCGTTCATACCTGAATTAGAGTTTGGCACTGGCCCCGGGTCAGTTTAACTCTGCTTTCAACCTGACCCGGTCCAGATGGAGATGATTTCTGAGCTCTGTTTTTCTTCACACCCATCGGTTGACGCAAAAGTCTGATAAGAGTGGCCAACGTTTATGGTCTTGCCTCTAACAACTTCCATGCATCATAAAGATCATACTGTGACTCACCAAAGGAAAAAAATTGATTTGACCTTTTTATCAAATTCTCTCAACCAATTCCTTGAAAAGGACATGTAAATCAGAGTCTGTATAATTTTTATGTTGATAGTGTGGCTTAAAAACGGTTGTGAACAAAGTTCATCTCGGGTCGAGTATGTAATGCATGTGTTTTTTTGGCCGACCTACCTACATTTTGGTCGTTCAAGGGAAAGCCACTATAGGCACTTTCCTAACTACAATAAATTAAACCGTGTAATTCCTACTCTTTGGGTCTTAGCTTTGCATGAAATCCTACGTTATGACCAATAGAATGAAAGCTGCTTCGTAGTACTTTCGTCTTTAGTGCACATCTAGCTCATACATTTCACAAAATAGCATTACATAATTAAATATATTTTTACTGGGATCTTCCTTAAATGTAATTTCGGGTGTGGTAGCTTTGCGGCACCCACTAGACGAAAAACGGATTTGCACAAATCTGCTATTCGCAAATATGATGCAAACATCTAAAAACGGAGGAGTGAATCTGGGGCAAAGATGGTAAATGTCACATTTGCCTCCTTATTTACAGCGCCGTCTTTAATGGTAACCTTCTTTGCCCCAGATTTACTCCTCAGTTTTTACATTTTTGCGACCCATTTGTGGATAGAAACCGGATAAATTATTGAAAAGGCTAATAGCCGTCGGTATTCCTAAGTATCCTACAAAATGTAATGCCTTAACATGCACAAAGAAAATTTCAGCCACGACCATGGCTTTCCTATTTCTTTCGTAAATCATAATATATACGAACAGGTGATCAGTGTGAATCCTGTTTATTTACATCTGAATGTCGTCCTCACACGATTTCTCGCTGAAGTGGTCTAGAATCTGTTGAGAAAAACAGAAACGATAAGAAAGATCGGAAATCTTATGCGGACAGAGGTGCAGAAATTTCCGCCCTATCAGAAACGTGATTGAGCTTATTAGACTCAATCCAAAAATGATGGCTAGTTTATTACAGGATTCTTTAGCGTCGATGTTAAAACAGCTTCACTAACCTCAATAAGTCAGATAACATGTTTTCTGAATTTTTAATTGTGAATGAGAAAGGTGGGATTGATTTTAATTTGGTCAGAAGATTTTAAACATTCTGGGTAGTACTACAGGTCTGAGGCGCAGGTTTTGTTTTACTTGAAAGTTCTTCATATTTGACTAGGTTGTTTGTCATTATCATATTACTTCATTATTGATCGTGACCAAATTATAAGTATTTTGGTAAACTTTTGACGGTTCATAAGGACACTTCGTGCTGACTATCACAACGATCGTGCATTTCATTAGCGTTCGATCCGTAGGCTTAGATAACAAATGGAAAACAATATTCCATGGTCTGTACTCGTATCGACCAAAGAAATGATGTCAAAATGTTCAAAACTCAAGTGGAACTATGAGCCGTAGGCGAGCGGTTTAAATGCAAAATTTTGAACATTTTGACGTCAATTCTACGGTAGATAAGAGTACAGACCATAGAAAATTATTGTCGATTTGTTATTTACAGTAACATTGGCAGTTTTTCACGTCTATCTCCGTTGAAGGAGAAAAACGAATGGCGCCACCATCACGTCATTTCCACGGCCAACACTCTTATTGACCACAGTTCTCGACCAATCAGCGCGCGAGAAATCGCTCAGGTAAAAAGCGATTTCCCATGACGTCACGTCCGCCATATTGGTACCCCAAAACAATAAAACGGTGACCATGTTGAAAATCTTCCTTCAATACGAATGACCGAGAGCAGGTTTTATGAGCCCACTAGACTGAGCACTCCATCCAAGCCCCTCTTTTCACTAAAACCGCTGGACGCCACTACCTGGCTTAGGTAGGTCATTGCTATCTAAGGTCTTTCGGCCATGTTGGTGTTCTAAGCCAGCCTTGTGTGAGTTTAACCTTTTTTCTACTTTGCGAAAAGTTTCTTTTGTTCCAATAAATTTGCACAGCTGCTGAAAACGCTCTATTAACATGCCCTAAAAATGTTTAAACTAATTTTACGCAGCTGTTTCCTCTCGCCAGACCTTCAGATTACGTACGTGATTTTCACCCCCTCGAGACGAGAAAAGAGCAAGTGACCTCTTACAAGTCTATCCCGAGGTCTATGTTTCCACTAAATATACTTTAAATGCATACTTTTATAATACAGACTTTGTTAAGTTGTTTCATTTAATATTAGAGTATAGTGATAATGTCAGTAGTTTATTTATTTATAATCATCATCATCATCATCAACGTTTGTCTTTTCTATCTCATTTTTCAGTTCCAGAGTAAAATGGAAAAACAGGGCTAACTTACGTCAACTACATAGGGATTCATTTCTTAGCTCCCTTGCCTCCGTTTTCGTTCGGGCATTTAACCCCAGGACATGGATCGTATGGCCTGGGATCGAAAATGACAGTTTGGGTGCCTCCCCCTTTAACGTTTGACGTCACGGATGCCGACCCAGGCCCATGAACCGTGAGGGCGACATTGTTAGAATCCACCTTACTAAAAACGTTTTGAGGCTCGCCTGCATTGACAACTTTAATCTTGTGACCATTGACAACTTGTTCTTCGTCTGTTAAGTTGAAAGGACATAAAAATAAATGAATCCATATAGATAAAATGAACGAGTCAATGGCGGGCTGAATGAAGGAAGGAAGGGAGGGAGCAAGCGAGCAAGCTAAGAAGGAGGGAAGTAAGGAGCGGAGCTCGATGGATGCGATGCGGAGGGAGTGAGTGTATGAGTAAATGAGTGACTGAGTGTGTGAGTGAGTGAATGTGTGAATGTGTGAGTGAGTGATAAGTTACAGTATATTTTTATTTCACCTGACTCTCCAAAGGGAGGTTTCTTAGTCTAATTACAATTTAAGATGATCAATATTAAATAGGAAAACAAATTAACTAAAGAAATCAGAAGGTAGCCTAAATGAACAACAGCAGCGTTAGAAGTTTTGCACCTGATTTACGGCCAGATAAGACAATAGGTCGAAATTTAAACTGTAGAAAACGTCGTCTGGATTGGTCATTTATACACATCAGGAAACGTAAGTACCAAAATGTTAAGTTTTTTAAATCTGCGAAAAGTTTCCCAGGAAACTCAACGCCAGCTGCCCATTTTGCGTAAAGATGTATAAAGGTATTAATGTGAAAGATTTGAACCAAGGAGTCATTTAGAAAGTAGTTCCGGGTGAACGTAGTCCTGAATAGGACTGTTGTTGTTGACAGTGACTGACGTTTCGACAACCTGTGCGGTAGTCATCTTCAGAGTCTAAGTGAGTTGTATCACGTCTTCCTTTTTACTGTACATAGTTTTTATCATCACGCACACGTTTACACTCGCATGTGAAAGTTGCGTTGCCCATTGCAAGAAAATAGCGGAAAATACCAACAGTTGTCGATATTTGCGGGTTTGATCTCAATCTGTGTATAAATCGTGAGTTCCTCTAAAGAGTGAGCCGCAATGTATTTAGAAAACCGGGGAGAATGGAGACTAGAAAGGTGCGGTCTCTTGGTCAGCGGACTTTCCTTGGGCACATGCCCATTAAGGTAATTCTTTTTGGCGTCCATTTCAAAATGGTTGTAGCGAATTTTGATACCTTGTAAGCTTTTTTCGACTTTGGAAGCTTGGAGTCTGTTTACATATGTTGCTTGATTGCATCACAAGACGCCTCATGGGTGTTACAAACTATTATTGATCTGTCAGCCTTCAGTGATCGATCATTTAATTGGGGAAGCAGCCCTATATAAATTTCGAGGCGCGTCATTTGACCTGGGGATGGAAACTTCGTGATGTACAAGCATGATTTGAAAGTTGGAGGGTTCAATTGTTTAACTCACGCTATCCAAGACGCAAGATTTTGATGGACAGAGTAAATAGACCTTGTCACAGTTTTCGACGCCATCTTGATTAGTAGAATTACAGTGTTTGTATGAGAATCTAATCTCGAACAATTTCCGTAAAACGGCTGTTCTAAAAAGAATATGACTTGTAAACTAAAGCTGCCAAACAAAGGATTGTACTAAAAAATCTAGGGGGCGTACCTGTGCTTAAATTTCTCCAGAGACTTGCTTTAGATTTTCCATATATTTGCCTGTAATTTTTCCCGGGACTTTCTTACAGACAAAGGTATAGAAAATTTTGAAAAGTGGTTTCAGGTCTTCTAGCGCATGTAACGCCCTCATTTTTTTCCAGTAGAATCCTTAGGAGTGAAGCATTAGTTTAAAATTCGTATTTTTTTCAAAACAGCCGTTTTACGGAAATTATTCGACATTAGATTCTCATACAAACACTGTAATTTCTCAAGTGTTTGCCTATTTGTCAAGATGGCATCGAAAACCGTGACAAGGTCTATTGTCCCTAGTGCTTAGTAACTTTATAAGTTTTCATCTCAGTGGGCCTGTGAAACAAGCAATGAAGTAAAACTAAACTAGTTTATATATACATATATATCTGTGATTACCCGTCCAGTTCTTAAAGCAATTAGCAGGCATCACCGTGACCCTTTTGCAATTTAGTAAAGACCCTGAGAGGGTCAAGCTTTCTCCTTTGTGCTGTGCGGATGCTAGGCTTTCAGCTAGTGGTGCTGGCAATAAGCCATTTTACAGTTATGAGCTTAGCTCCTAGCCTCTGAGTAAATGTGAGGCTGCGGTTGACCCTGTTTTGATACAAATCTCTTTCCTTTTCTTATGAAAATTATGCTAAAAAATACTAGTTAGCATAAGAACAACATAATTAAAATAATAAAGCTGGAAGGTTTGTATCAAAACAACGTCAACTCCTGCCTCATTTTCACGTTCTGTAACTGTAAAATAGTCTATTGAAGACAACAAAACTGGTCAGTTTTAAAAGAAGACTGACTTTGGACCAGGGGCAAAATGTAGAGAGAGGTTGAACTGCAAACTGCAGACTTAAAATGATAATATTGATGATAAAAATGATAAATAGTTAATAATTATAGTGAGTTAGTGGGTGGATAAATGATGATGATGTCGTTGGTGTCAGTAACTGAATTAGATCATGGACAGGTGGACAGAAGTACAAGTTGATAATTTTGGAAAATTTGATTGAAGCCTTTCATGTTTAATCATTTAAAACCCATTAACTCAGGGGTTTCCATAATTATTAATAAAATCTATTAGCCTTTATTTACCGACTGCAGCACTATTGCAAGTAGCAGCATCTATTTAGTTTGTCTTTATTCACAGCTTATTTTAAAATGTGTCAAATTCACTCACATTGAAAAGGGGACAAGGGAACAAGCACAGGGAAGGGACAGAAAAAAGGGAAAATGGGAACAAACTTAACTTGAACTTAGCCCTATCAGCATCTTCATTAACCATTCTCTGACCTGTTCTCATTTTTCATTTTCCCATTCCTTATTCACTTTTATAGTAACATCCACTCACGTTTGGGCTTATGATCTGCCACAGGAACACTACTTGCAAGATTTGTTGGCACCTTGTCTGCTTTTTCTTTGATCATTTTGTTGTGCACATGAACTGCTGGAGCATGTTGCTGGTTTTGATCTTTTGTCGCCAAGGGCGGTTGCTGCCCTTCTTGCAATGCAATCTTCGGCTTTTGTTTGCTAGACATCTTTGATAGATCCTTGTTCATAGCCACGGTAGGCTGCTGGTGATCAGATTTCCCTTGTTTTGGTGCCGCTTGCGGTGAAGGTAGCTCTGACAGTGGGAGGACTATAGGTAGTTTATGACCTTCAGGAAAAAACTGCAGCTTTATTTCCAAAACCAAATTAAGATTACAAGCATTACTGCTTTACGTCTAACCTTTATCCCCTTGCCTATCCTTCACTGTTTTATCTATTCCCTCATACAGAAAATACCCGCAACTAAGAACCTGCTTTTTCCCAAGTTAGCCTAAATAGGTTCTTACATAACTGGTAATTAGGACAAATTTAGGCTATTTAGGTTCTTAAAATTAATAGGTTCTTATTTTCTGAAGGAAAAATAAATTGTAGCTAAGAGTATTTAGTGGTGTTCAGCTTATTCTTTGCAGAAAATCTGCATACCAATACATCCCAGTAGGGATGATAAGGCACTTATGTCTCCAAAGGGGATCCTGAATGTTGACTTATCCTATTTGTCCAAGGGTACAAAAAATTTTGAAAATAAGAACCCGTTTTAAATTTTTAGGCTGAACAGGTTCTTGTCTAGAGGGGGCCTAAGTGCCAATTTTAAGCCTAACAGGTTCTTAAAAACCAGGTTCTTAGTCGCGGGTTTTTACTGTAATTCTTTAAATATATTTGATATTTTGCAGTCTGTATGCTACAAAAATTTACCCTAATTTTTGTTGGTTCGTGGTCTCCTTGGGGGCTGGGTGGGGGGGGAGGCACTCAACCTGGGGCAGTGCCTTCCCTGTGCAACCCATAAAGGACAGACTGCACCCTGCACTGTGTTAAATCACTGTATAACCAGTAGAAGTCCTCGATACCATTCATTGAACTGATTTTAAAAAGGTTAAATTTGTGTGGGTTTCAACCGCTCACTCCTATTCTGATTCTTTTACATAAAATAGTGTCTTGTGACAAATAACCTGATTGCCATAAGTCCTCTAAATGCTGTTTAATAACCCCACCCGTTTCAGGGAGAGAAAGTTAGTAAGCACCCCCTCTTTTAAGCCCCACCCATGTGCCTTTATTTGTCACAACCAAATGAATAAAGGATATACGGGGCCCAGTTCCTGAAAGGCTGATTAGCATTAATCCAGGATTGAAATTTTGTTCCTTTTTTGTATTTTACATTCCTATGCATTGATTGCTTAGGGTAACACTTTGTGTTATCATTACTGTATCTCGTATTAAAGACTCACCAGTATTTTGCAACCTCCAGTTGCATTTTCTTAGACAAGAAAACCGTGCTTGAAATTTGGCTTAATCCTGGGTTAAACTTAACCATCTATTGAGGAACCAGGCCCTGTATTATTAATGCTGATTTAAACTCTTTAAGTGAACTGATCCGGTATGTTTAATTCAAACAGACTTTTGCTTGCTTTAAATAGCTCACTAAACATGAATAAACGAGTTTGCATGTACATCAAACATCACCATAGCCCCTACCCTATCTTTATTTACCTGAATGGACGTTTATCACGTGGTAACTCTTATCCGAAGGGGTGTCTTTGACCACACTGATGGTGTGGTCGGGTTTTGGGTCACCCTGTGCAACTTGCTGTTGAGTGGCTCCCACCGATATAATCCCAGGTCCTTGCATGGTAAGCGCCACATTGTGTGCGTCCATCTGCGCTGTTACTTTGTTGTCTTTTGCCATCTTGCGTATACCCATATTGTACACGTTGATATTTTGTGGGGGTCCTTTGGCTGGGTCATCCATGGGCTGGTGGTATGCCTGTGGTGGTGTATCGTCATTGAGATGAGTTGCCTCGTGAGCTGTGTGACAGACATTTCATAAGTAAGTCATGTATTAAAGGCGTTGTCTCACGGCTGTCATGTTGATATTGATTATTTTGCTAATTACGCTTCCTTATCCGCTGTGGATCTTGACATAATGTCAAAATCACATTTCGAGCATTATATCAAATGTTACAAACAACAAAATTGAGCTTTGAAAAAATGTTACGCTAACAAGATTTCAAAAACCCACAAGTTCAGTCCGTTTTAATCTTCTTCAAGTTTGTCCATCCGTGCCTTCTTTTGTATTTGCCGTGTTATTATTAATACCTTCTTTTAATGTTATGAGCGATTATCAATTTCTTGTTATATTCCTAGACTTTCACTCAACCTTCTTTTGAATGTTATGAGCGATTATCAATTTCAATGTTTCACATTGCAGCACGTGATCAAAGTTTGGGGACAATCCAGCCAGTTTTTCCGTGAATGAACACAACAACACAAAAACGAAGCCTTAGAATTTTTTAAAATTTCCCAAAAGAAGAAAAATTCGCTCCGGTTATTCTTTTGTTGCTGTTGAAGTGAAAGTCTAGAAATATAACAAAACACTTAATGTCAGGTCCCTCGGGAAACCAGTTAGTTTTGTTTTCCCAAGAGTCCTGATGTTTCCCGAGACGAAGTCGAGGGAAACATCAGGACTCGAGGATCTGACATTAAGTGTATAATGTTTCACTCAGTTTGGGGACAATTCCTACTGTTAGAATTTTTTAAAATTTCAAACACAGCTCCTTTGACCTTAGCCGGGGTAGGTTTGGTGCCCCTTAGCTCCCCTTATTTTAATTTGTCTCAAGGCACTAGATCAATAAACGAACCTACATGCATGTAAGCATATAACTGTAATGCAAGGTTTTAAGTATGTCGCCTGGATTTCTAGGATAGTTAGTGAAATGTCTCTCAGGACCCGTTCACACGTATCCGAATATGTTTGAATCCGCAACTTTTTCTTGCCAGATTCAAAAATTTCCATGTCCAGACGTATCTGTATTAATATCGGATTTGCCCTTCCACACGTATCCGACACGTATCCCGATTCACTCTACTACCCAGGACTCCTCTGGGAATATTGGCAACAGAGCATGCGTCTTAGTGCGCGCGGAATTTGCACCTTGCTCTGCCTCGAGAGAACCTGGGAACGAAGTTGACATCTTAATTACAGTATTCACGGTAAAGAACTAAGCTCGATCTTGTTACGTCACCGGATAACAAAATATCCGGATTTAGCGTCCACACGATTTCGGATTCATGGCGTATTCAAAAATTTCCTCCCTGGAGAGCGGATTCAAAACGGTGCAGATTCGTATGCCGGAATCACCGGATACGTGTAGACGGAAGCCGTATCCGGAAAGAAAAAGTTGCGGATTCAAGAGTATCCGGATACGTGCGGACGGGGCTTCAAATGGACATTATCACAGGTTGCGCCCCTTAAAGAAGGAAACTTCAAATCAACCAGTTAGCATCAAAGTGCTTTTTTTGACATAAATTCGTCAAATTTCACGATTTTAGTATGAAACAGGTTTGTAAACTGAAAGGAAGGCAATTCCCATGTTTTATGTCACCGGGAGTCAAGGAAAATGACTGAATAAACGACAGGCGTCAACTCGAGGTGCCAACTCATAGACTGGTGTCTTCCTTTCAAGGAGTCAAAGCAAATGACTGAAAAACGCTAGGGGCAACGTTTTTTAAGCTCAAGGAGTCAATTCTAGGAAGTGTACTCTCAATTGATCGTGACCCCAAAATGTATTTGCCTCATTTTGTTCAGGGAGTGCTTTATTACGTGTGCTGAAGCTATTTACGTCTTTAGTCACAGAAGACACTGGAGGTTCCGACAATAAGCTCGGACGGTGACATGCGCTGCCAGCCTGACAAATTTTATTGCGATTTTAGTCATAAACCGTTTAGAAACCCGAAAGAATCTCAAAGTGGTCTATGTTCGAGAGAAATCATTTTGTCTGTCCTTTTAATTTAACACTTCTTCTTTCATATTCTCCAAACCCTTTTCTTAGTACGTGTAAGTGTCTAAATGCGTGTTTTATGCTCTAGTTGTCTCCATTCATGACGATTGTCTGGACAGTGTTTGTGCATTGACCGGAAACACCACCGCATTTGAGATCACTTTTGCATGTGTCTATGTCTCAAACTTGGGCGACAATTTCTCAAATTTTTAAAATATAGAGAGGTGACAGTGAAGGAGGGCAGACACTTTTATGTTGTTAAAATTTTATTAGCGAACAGACAGGTGTTACTCCTTAGCGAAATGGATCAGTAGACGATTAACTCTATTTTCGTTTCTATTTTGTATTTTCACACAAAATGTGATTTAACTTGGAAATAATGGTATCATTCAGTTTTTTTGCTCTCTTTTTATTCTGGCCGGACATTTTTCTTCTCAGAGTGCCGCCACCTTCCAGAGAACCTTTGTTATTTGCTTAAGAAACACCTACGAAAGGTTAAGAGCTTGTTAAAAGTGCCTGTGATTGACAAAAGTCCAATCTACTTCCTTTTTGTACGCTGTTAAATCTCTTTTGTAGATGTTAACGGCCTGTTGAGCTCCATAATCTTTTACGATTTCTGTGCGCGGAAAAGAAATTTTGACTTGTAACACATAAAGATAGATAAAAAAGATTAATGTGCGCGAGCGCCATTATCTCAACCTTCGATGTTAAATAACCTAGTCGCTGCCGCGAATCTTTGTGTCCCCTTCATTTAGTGATAATGAAAACATCGACATCCAAACCACAATTAACTTTAATCGACACATTAAAAACAAAAGCTTCGACAATGGTAACGTCACTAAACAAACGATTTAATTAGAAGAACAATGGCTTTAGTTTCTGCACTTAAATGCACTCTAGTTTATCGGAACGGTTTGTTGACAATCGTATTCAGCTTCAGAATGTGTTAAAGCATGAACAATATTGAATGATTTGCGCTTTGCCTTAAATGTCGACGACACTTTACGGCTCAGTATTTCAGGTTATTCCTATTTGCGACCTCTTAGGTAATTAGAAATGCGATTCGTTTTTATTTAGGAAGTGACAACCCGGAGACGGAATGTCGTGGCTTAAAAATCCGTCACAAACAGAAAGAAAGAAAAAAAAACCAGTCGCCAAATGAGTTAAACCGTTGGACGGGCTGATATGGTTATTATGAAAAAAAAAATTGTCCAAGTAAACAGCCCATGGAAACCTCTAGAATAGAAAATTTCAACGCCGTTCTACAAACCTTTCTTGTGCTTATGGTGTCGTGGTCTTCCCTCCACGAATACTGCCGTACAAATAAGAAAAACGAAAAACCAAGCCATCGCGACAGTTACACTAGTGGACTAAGATAAACTACGAACGTAACGTTGTCTAAAGCTAAACTGCGAAAACTACGTGATTGTAATGGAGTTTGTGGTTCTTGATCAAATAACCCAAAAGTGACTTTCACGCTTGACCTGTCGCTATTAGTTAATTAATCGAGAAAGCGCATGACCTTGTAATGTAATATTTCGCTAAAGAGGTTTTGAGTAGACACCACACGTTGATTTTACAACGCGTGAGATCATTGTAGTGGGGGTATCAAGTTACTGGTAGCCAAACAGCTGATTAGGATTCAGTTTCATATATTTCTGATACGAAAGCTTTCACAATTTGCACGTGCCATAATCCGTTTTTACTTGTAAACCATTACGTTTCAGAATCAAAATCTGTTGCTATGAATACAGAGATTATTTAACTGACATAACGGTGAAAAGTCTTCATCTCTAATTAGTTGAATGTAAATTTGCACGTTAGATCACCCTTGTCGTGTGGGCGCTAAATCCTTTTTGTACACTGTTAAACTGATCTCTTTTGCAGATATTAATAGCCTTTTGCTATGAATAGAGAGATTATTTAAGTGACATAAGGGTGAAAAGCCTTCCTCTCTTATTAGTTAGATGTAAATTCGCACGTTGGATCACCCTTGAGGTTTCATCTTAGGAGGACATTATCACTGATTGCGACTCAATGTGAAAAAATGAGAAACTGAGAACAAAGTAATTAGTAAAGAGGTTTGTCTAATTACACACCTACATCTAAGAGTCAGCTGGTTTGTTTCTTCGAAATTATGGGTGCTACGAGATTATCAGCGTATTAAACTTAAAGCGGCCTTTGTCGCGGCTTGGTGGATCACTTTGCTAATGTTGCCAATTAGGCGAAGACCAATTGTCGAGAACTTTTCATGAGACGAACTAAACTGCGCGGATTAAGTTCATGAAAACCTCGACGTCTGTCTCAATTAAGTTCTTCTGAATGAGTATGGATTGACCAACACGTTCTATCTGTCAGCTTTAGAAGTGTGTTTCTGACTGGTTCGATGCTTCATTATTTCGATGTCTGACCCAACAGACGAACTCAATTTAATGTAGGTTTAACCTTATTCAAGTTTGTCCAAAGAATTTGCTGTGTTATTTGTTTTTTTGTAATGTTTGGATAACTTATTTTTCCCCTTAGCTGGGTGGTAATTTCCTGAAGTTGAATTTTGGTAGACTAGTAATAGTCCCTATTTTTCCTCAGGGATAGTAGAGCGAGCGAAACGGGAGCGCGCGTGAAAATCGTCCTCGCGTGGGGTGACTTTCACGTGCGCTCGCGTTTCGCTCGCTCTGCTATCCCTGAGAAAATGGGGACTACTTGTAGTCTAGGATTTTGGTAAATTTCGCAAAACAGCCTCTTTAAATCTTAGCCCAAGCTTGTTAAAAAGGCTTTCTCTTTTTCCTGTGTCCTGAGAACGAGGTTCCCGTCTGGTGTTAAAGACAATAGCTCAGTGGTAACAAAGAAGCAAGAAGGTCAAGGTTACGGAGATGGGTAAAAAATATATATATTTTGCAGCTGACCGATTCAGCATGAAGGCTAAAGGGTTGCACTAGACCATGCGTACCACTGAATTTTGAAAGCAAGCTGAGTGTACATTTACCTCTTTTTTTTTTCCCAAAGAAAATTCTGACTATAAATCTGCTGGATATCATATCACTAGAACGACCATTTGCGCACGTTGAACAATTTTTACTCAAAGCTTTTACTGTTTTTCAGGTTGATTGCCTTACTGGTATCCTATACTTCTGGTCGTATTAACGAAGAAAAATCAACAAATCGTAGAATGGCTGAAGAGGGTAGTCAATTGCAGTAACATGAGGGTCGTTATCTTTATGAGATCTTTATGCAAAAAAATCCTTGACCTGACCGGTTGGGATAGTTAACCTTCATCAGCTTCAGATCAAGCTTTCTCAACCTCTACCCTTTGAGTCCTTCTTGCAGGCCAAACGTCCTATTTACCGTTATCTGAAAGCTGAGGTGCACCAGCCTACCCATCTTTCAAAATGGTAATTACCACCGCCTATTACAAAGCTAGAAACGTAATTGCCTAACTGGTATCATATACTGCTGGTCGTATTAAGGAAGAAAAATCAACAAATCGTAGAATGGCTGAAGAGGGTAGTCGATTGCAGTAACATGAGAGTCGTATTTACACGGTTTGAGAACAAGGACTAGGCTTCTGTTCAGGTCCAATGAGGTTAGTTGTCTGAAAGACGCAAAGTGGTGATCGTATGCTGGGGTTCTAGCGTGCTAAAATGTCTAAATAGCTGGGAGAGTGTTGGAATCTCATGTGTCAGTAAAAGTTTCCTCACATTTCTCGGGTATTTGCTTTCGAACAACCTCAGATGTCAGCTATCAAGGGCGAGTTTCACCTTACACTAAACTTTTATGCCATTTCTTTCCTATAAGCTCATTCAGCAGATCTCAGATTTCAGAAATGCGTTTTCCTTATTGGGACAATATTGGGCTGTTCATATAGTTCTAACATACAGTCATAATAACCCGTTAATCAGTTGAAGCGTAAGTATTCACAAGAGAAGATAAAGCCTTCATCTTCTCTCGGTGTTGACAAATTGAAGCCATTTTTATTTTTCATCACGCAAATCTGTAGAGAAATCAGACAGGCAGGTGGGAAGGGGTTGGGGCACCTTTGCCCTGAAGACGGTGGCAAAAATGATGGAATTAACATCGAATGGTTGACAGACGGCAAAAAGCAAACTCTTTTGCACCTTTTATATCAACATCCCAAAAAGAAATGAATTTGCATTCAGTTTTGCCAAAAGCAGCAATACTGATAGGGTTCAATCTCTGTAGAGCTGATCAGGGGCCTGTTTCTAGAACGTCCTGGAAAGCCGTTTCGTGTTTGCCGTGTTTACATAATAATAATAATAATAAACTTTATTTATATATCGTCTATATCTTTAACTGTTCTAGGCGCTGACATTCAAGATCAAAGTTTCAGTTTCAAAAAATTTTGAAATTAATACAACAAAACTACCAGTTAACGAAGCAAAATTGACTGGTTTGTGGGCTAGGAACTATGCTACTATCAAACAGGTTTGGATTTTAAAATTTGCCTTCGGGACCGAAAAGTTTCCGGGCCTTTCGAGAAACAGGCCCCTAAAGAGCGGGAGGTCAAGCATACGGCTTCGCATCCTCGTGAGGCTCTGGTGATCACCATATTGTACGATGGCGATCCCGTCTTCAGAATGGACCAAAATGGATAGTGCACTCAATCAGAACTTCGTGTTAAAGCAGTGTTGTATGTAGAAAACCAAATAAACAAACACAAACCAAAGTATTGGCTGAAAGTATAAACATGATCATGCAAGCAAAACAGTATGCGAGTTATTAATAACTTTATTATACTTCTTTCTAAATTCACTGTTAATATAATCGATTTTTCGAATAAGGCCTTATAAATATACTACCTTAGGATACGAGATCATTCATGATCATCAAACATTGTGTACATAATTGCATGTTGCTTTTTTTCGGAAAGGTTGTTTCTCGCTCTCACTCCCTCCTCAGACTTCAGGAGGGCGACGTCTATTGGTGTCTTGTTAAGGATGCCATATTACAGTGTCTTGCGTTTCAAAGTATATGCTGAAAAACTAGTAAATAAAATAAAATAAAAATAAAATCGGAAGTGAGAAATTAACCGAAACTGATAAACGAGGAAAAGCGCTCCGTCGTTTTTGTGTGTTTCGTTTCTAGTCGAGGTCTTTATGCTATATTCACACAAACTTTACATATGTATACGTACAATTATCCATGACTTATACGTGCAATTGATTCAGATTAGCTAAGTGCTCCAAAAATAAATCGTCTACGAAGAAGCGAATGTATCCAAGCATTAACAACCAAAAGCGACCGAAAAGTGCATCCCATGATGGACAACTAACAAAAAACTTTCTATAACAAAACAGCCGCTCTCCGGGCTTTTGCGAACTATCGAGGAAGAGGAGGGTTCAGTTTTCCTCAATCACACATCTAATGACACCCTGTGGTTTAAGACGGCTCCAAGACGAATAGGAAGCAGATTATCTAATACCTAGCTGTAGAATGTCAAATGCTATATAAGTTGCCCCGGTACAGGTGAACGTTAATTAACACTAAATGATGTCAATTTTCGCTAAAACAAACAAGAGTTACAAATAGTAGATTTATTTTGAGCAGAGTTTGCACTTGAGCCTGCAGTTTGTCTGCAACCATTGTTCTCCACAGCGGTCTCCGGGGTAAACAACGCATCGCGTATCGTCGCTGCACGACTGGGGAACTGTAGTAGGAAAAAACCCAAAGCAAAGTATTAATTTGCCTAACATTTTTATCAAATCTTTATGCAAAGAAAATCCTTGACCTGACCGGCTGGGATACTTAACGTGCATCAGCTTCAGATCAAACTTTCTCAACCTCTACCCGTTGAGTCCTGTTTGCAGGCCAAACGTCCTATTTACCTTTATCTGAAAGCTGAGGTGCAGAAGCCTACCCATCTTTCAAAATGGTAATTACCACCGCCTATTACAAAGCTAGAAACGTAAAGGTAAATAAGGCAAAGAGTCCTTATTAATTTTTACGTCGGTAGCTCGAAATGGTCATCTGACTAACAACACTGAGGCCGACGGTGCGCTCATGTTATCCCCCTCTCTCCATCGGTGCTCCGTTTAACGGGTATTTAAAGCTACTTAAAGGCACACGGAAAGGAAAGAAGTCGAAAGAAGGATTTGAGGTCACACTTAGGAATCGAACTCCGCGGGACCCTCCGAAGGCCGCACACTAACCAACTGCGCTAATCCTTCCTCCTGAAGAAACGTGTTGAACCATGAAAAAAAATGTGGGTTGCTGGGAAGAATCGGACTTCTCCAGACTATTTCGTTGAAACTGGAACCTCTTTCACTGGGTTCTGTCTCAATACCTCATATCAGTGGATTGTTTACTCACCATTGGCGTACGCCCTGGCATAGGCTTGTACTGGATCTGCAACCGCTGCAGAAGCTTCTGCTGGGGCTGTAGCAGCTGATACTGATGCGGCAGGTACAGCTGGAGCTGCTGCTGGAGCTACCGCTGCCGATGCAGGGGATGCAGCATATGATGCTACATCTGAAGCTGCGGCAGGTGCAGGGGATGCTGCTGATGAGGATGAAGCTGCTGCTGGAGCTACTGCCGCGGATGCGGGGGCTGCAGGAGATGATGCTACAGCTGAAGCTGCGGCAGGAGCAGGGGATGCTTCTGTCGATGAAGCTGCAACGGAAGATGATGCTACAGGGGCTGCAACAGAGGCTGCTGATGGAGCCTCTGGAGGGGCCACCGCGGGTGCACTCTCTGAGGTGGAGGAAAAGGCCTGGGTCTGGGTGGTGGTTTGAATATTCGTGCTTTGGGAAACCGCTGCTGTTTGTGTTGAGGTTGTGGAGCTGTTTGCCGGTGCGTCCTGTGAGGTCGACGATACTGTAGCATTTGGAGAAGTGGATGGTGTCGTAGCATTCTGAGATGTTAACGAATCTGTTGCATTCAGGGAATTGGATGCTGCGGTATTGTCATTTTGATCTGTAAAAAAAATAGCGAATTCAATATCGTCATGGGAAAATAGAAAAGAACGTATGGAAAGACGAAACTTCCTTTCAAGTTCCAGAGTGACGCTTTCTTTTTCTTCAAGTCTAGTACAAAACAGAAATCAGCTTTTTAAGTTATTACTTCGGTTATTTTGTAATGTTATATAATGTCGTGGATTTTTTTGACAAGACGCGCCGTCTTTACATTATATTAACATGTTAACAGTAAGTTCAGATGTCAACATACAATGGCGCCAGTGGCAGCCGCTATCAGTCCATTTATGAGCTTACTTAACCCACCCATAGCCCATGATATGAATGATGCTTGAAAGGTAGACCACACTACCGGGGAAACCTCCCCTACGAAACTTTCCCTTCAACTACAGCGTTGCATGGCTTCGTAATGCCATGCTCAAAAAGGACTTCACTGACTACAAGACCAATGTAACGAAAATAAGCCCTTGCGCTTCGCTCTTTTCCACATGTGTGCATGCGTTGGTAAGTGTGTCTTGCCACAATACCTTGTAACGTAGTCTCTGACTTCTGGGCCGGATTTTCCACAGTTGCTTCTCCTTTGTTAACCTCCAGCAACTCTTTGTGGTCACCTTCGATCACCTCGACGCTTGGTTTGGAACTAAACTTTTTCCCTTTCTCTGGCACGTCAATCTCGATGTTCTCGATCATGGGCCTGGTAACATTTTGTTTGAGCACCATCAAAGGTTTGACAAAAGCCGTCGTTGCATTACTTTTCGGTGGCATGATCCGAATCTCTTGTATCTGTGGGACACCATCTTTTAACTTCGGTTTTACTCGAATGGTATATTTTGCCTGCAACGGTTTGGTTCCGGAAGCGGGGGCGACCAAATCCGACTGGAACTCTGACAGTTCTGGAGGATCGTGAGACGGCTTCGCCGTTGCATTTGTGAGATCCGAGGCTGTGGCGTTTACATCTGCTTCTGTAAGAATGCAAGCGTATTCTCTAACTAGGCTGGAATTTAAGAGGCCATCTTTTCCCAAAGATGTAACAGTTCAGTCTAGGTAATAGGATTCAAATGAGCTACTGAAGCTATTCTTTGTTCTGTTTTGTGCGCTATGTAGCATGGTTTTAAATTTTGGCCCTTCGAATGAATTGTAAATAGTGACCATCCAAATATAATCTACTGAGCAGTAGTTGCCTGTGGTACTGTTTATAAAAAGGTAGTTCTAACTTGTGAGTCGTGGGCACTGAAAAGCAATTTCTTATAGTTTTGCGTTCGACGAAGGAGAACGCTCACTCCCCGAGTCCCGCGGAAGATCCCGCGGGTATTACTGATTAAGACAGCTGCTGTTATTCATATTGATCAAAATGATTGATTTGGTTTCTTAATCTTACAAGTTCATCAAATTTTGCACCCCCTTACCACTACCACTCACCACCCACCCACCGCATCCCCATCGAACGCACTTCCCTATTTTGCAATTATTACTAGTTTAAGATGAAACTTTTCGCCGCACATCCTAAAAGGGAACGTGTTTATAATAAATGAAAGTCGCCAAGTATTATCCTTTACAATCTTTTCAATCCGTCGCTGAAATCTTCAGATGTGGTCACACAGCACATCGTCGGCCGAGGTCACATAGTAATCATAGAAGGCGTCGGCTTGGTGAGCAATATTCATCTATGACAGGAGTTGAACCCAGCTGACCACTAGGGTTGAAATGAAAACCCCAAATTCGTAACAGGTGCTACTTTGAGGCTTGACATGCATGAACAGCTTTTTCTTTCAATTTGCTTTTAAAGAATGCTTGGAATTTTCATTAACGTGTAGAATATTCTGCCCTGAAGTTAAGAATTTAACGTTTTAGCAAAATTTGGCCTCTTTTAGCATTTTGCAAAAACACATGAAATATTTTTTTACGAACTCAGATGACTAGGAAAAAGGGCGACCGTGAAGAGATTGCTACAAGGACTTGCTCTTACGTAAAGCGAAACGTAAGCCGCAAGTTCGTGTTATCAACACCATCGATAAATCTCCCTTCCAACATAGGTTCGTAAGAACGTAACTCCAAGACTGTCTCTCTCTCTTCATCCCATTCCTTTATTTTAACTCTGCCAGTCATTGGTATGGCTTCGTTTTTATTCCTTGTACAATTATTGTTACGCTACTTTCAACTCTGCCAGTCTTTGGTATGGCTTCATTTATATTCCTCGTTCAATTATTGTTACGCTGCTAAAGGAAAAGTTCACCACACACTATTTTTTACTCTTGGATCCATGTAAAGACTGTCCGAGTTTTCAGCGCAATTAATATAGTTACTAGCTTTAATACAGCATAGTTTGGTGGCATCTGTTATAAAATAGATGTACACCAGTGTGTGACCTAGTTCAATCTTAATTATATCCACCTTAAATCTGTTGTTTATCGTAATCTGTTTCTGATTCGTTCAATCCTGTAAACTCTTATTTTCAAGAACAATTTGAATTTGATTCACCTTTATGAAAAATCTCGGTCTAAAAGGTAATATATTTATTTCAAGTCTGACCCATCCTAGAAACATCAAAGTTTCGTGTCCAAAATTGTTTTGTCTTGAAAATTATGAAACCGGCAGGTCACTAAAACTTACCTCTAATAACCCGAACAATAATTCTGCCATCGATCACTGACAAGCAAGCTAGAAATAACGCAAGTTTGATCATTTTGTTAGCGGTGAAATTAACAGTCTTCTTGGATAGTCGTTTCTATCGTAAAGCACGTTCGAAGACGTAAGATCAAGAAAATTCAAGGCACCTTTTCATTTCAACTGGTGACTTTCCTGCTCAGTGAACCGGAACGATTTGACTGTTGCTTTCCAGCCTGTTTTGGTAAAATAAGTAACTAAATTGGAAAGTAATTAAAACCCACGCACGTTTCTCAATGAGGCAACCTTGATCGTTCCTAAGCTTGTGACATATGATGACTCCCGTCCCGTCTTCTTTATTCACTCTTAATTTTCATGTAAAACTGTTTACTCCACGCTTAAAGTTGATCTTCTCATATAATTCGAATTACCGTAAAACTAACCATCCTCATTTTATTTATGACCCCAGATGGGTTTGCTCGACGGTGAAAAGCCAAGCAGAATGCGTGTTCGATGTTAATAGAATTTTAATTAACGGTCTGTTTCCCAAGGACGAGTTTTTGTGGGATGATCGTGGGCTCGAGGCACTAGAATATACCTGTAGGGGGCTGAGATTTTTCTTTCTCCTTACTCTCAAAACATATCACTTTCACCTCCACAAACAAGCACCAGCCCTTTAAAGCCTCACCAGCAAGTACTTAAAATACAATAAGGAAATTATCCCCGTAAGGCTCATCAAATATTGAATTTCAACTTAAGTCTTCAATCATTACCTTCCTCTACATCTAACAAAGTTACTTAAGTTGTGTTTAGATGAACGAACTTAAACAATATGAAAAGCATTTTGTGTTAGTCTAAATCCTCCAAAGAGAAGGTACAAATCGTTTGGAAAAATTTAATGAGAATTTGATCCAACAAAATTACTTAAGCTGTGTTTCGATAAACGAAATTAAACAATATGAAAAGTGTTTCATGTTAGTCTAAATCCTCCAAAAAGAACGTAAAAATCGTTCGCAAAAATTTAATGAGAATATGATTCTAGTTTTCAAGGTGCTGAAAAAGGTCGACTGCGGTCGCTTTTTTCTGCCGCTCCTCATTCTCTTCTCTTTTTTTCTAAAGTGCATAATTACACTTGAGGTTGTCGTAGCACTTACTGATCGATGTAGAAAATAGGCGAGTGCTTCAAATTAAGTATAGAGTGGTAAATAAAGGGTATACGAACTGCACGACATCATGTTTTAGGTTGGCTTTATTAAACATAAACATTCAATTCACAGTTAAATAAGCGAAAATGAATTGTGTAACAATACAGCACCCAAACGAAGCAGCTTCTTCGTCATCTTGATCTCCAGCAAAACATGATTCTCTCCAAAAATCTTGAATATATTAAATGGGCAAAGCAAAAATTATCTCGTTGAAAAAAGACTAGAAAAGTATGCTAGAAAGTGACCTCTAACACCAACTCAAGTCATTCAATCCGCGTAATTAATCATTAGACTGACATTTTCAGGAATAATGATGAGCTCGAAATACGCACTCTTTTTATGGACAACACGTCTCCACTAAGTAGAATAAATTGTTATCGTTTTTCACAATTTTCTGCTTTTCTGTCTGGGCAGTGTAGTGACTCCAGGTGTCGTCTTTTACGGACTTGCAGTTTCTAAACCCTGGATGGAAAAACGTCAGAAGAAAGTTAGGGACTGTTTACGTGGAGGTGGGGGACCTCAGGTAGATGGGGTAACCCGCTCAGACAGGGTAAACCGCCTGTCTATATTACCTATATTACGCGGGTTAGCTCACCTACCTTCTGTTCTACACCCCCAGGTAAACAGGACCTTAGAGTATTGAGAAATCTAGTTAAAGCACTCCTCACCCTACCTATTCTACTCGACCAAGGTTCCGTCACCTTCGTGACATATTTCTACAACGTTTGAAAACCGTTTCCTGAGTGTCGCACGACACGCACGAATCAAACTCCACGGTGCAGACTTGTGCAATTTAAACCGTTTCGGCTTCGGTCTGGCATTACCATTCATCAGAACTTACTGGCCAGACCAGTCCATTCGTCTGACCACTTACCCCTCCCCTGAGTCGACATTAACACTTCTCACTTAGGACAGAATTGTGCCTCAGGGGAGGAGTAGATGGTCAGCTACCCAGTTAACCTCAATGGCCCTAATGCATGCTTGGGAATTTATTTGGATCATTTTACCTTTCTGAGAAACTGCCCAAGCCAGCATTAATACTTACTTCTCACTTAAGGCAAAATGTTGGCGTAGGGAAGGGGTAGGTGGGCAGTATTTATTCAAAACTTAACAACTTTCAATTTCAAAACGAGGCTTGGTGGTGAAATTTGCTCGTCTGACGTAAACATTCAGGATCAATTTAGGTTTCTGGGAAACTGCCCACCTACCCCTTCCCTACGCTAACATTTTGCCCTAGATAAGAAGTAAGTGTTAATGTTAGCTTAAGGGAGGGGTAGGTGGGCAGTTTCCCGGAAACCTAAATTAATCCAACATGATGCATATAAAGGACCATTGGTCGCCAGATCAGTCTATTCCCATACAGTATGCTCACGCAGTGAAGGGTGTTTGATTAGTGAAAAAGTTTATGGAAGACCAAATATTTTATTTTGAAAATTAACGGTCTGGCAAGCCAGTTTTGAGTTTTCGTTAGCGCCTCTGGATTTGACTGGATTTGCACTGTGTTTGATTCAATAGGCCTTAAAAAAGTGGGAAAAGTATAACTTTGTCAGATAGCTTATTTCTGTTGATTAATTTGCTCTAATTATTCCTCATTGGCAATCAAGGATGAATCCTGAACCTTATCAATATTCTACCAGTTAGATGAGATTTGGGAAAAGATGCCAAAGTTTCATAAAAGGATAGAGAATGGGATTTAAAACTTAATAACCTTCATCTTAGCACAGCTTGCACTTTCTCTTGCAGTTTCTTCTCAGCCAGGCATCTGAGCATTGGTTTTCAAGGTACGTGGTGCATCTGCTGTCGTCACTGCAAGAATTAGCTTCAAAAAATATGGAGAAAAGGTGTATTAACCTTTGGCGCATGTACTTTCAAGGTAAAAGTTAGTGTGAAACTTTCTAATGTACTCGACTTGTGCAGCATTTCTCCGAATATAAATATTTTAGTAAACTACAATATTGAACTTGAAATTACAGCAAAGCATACCATTGGCGTAGGCAGCTGTCTGCGTAGCTGAAGAGGACTGGGTATTAGCAGATGTTTGGTCAGCGGTCTGTGCAGTGGAGGCAGACTGGGTCTGAGCTGATGAAGCTTGTGTGGCAGAAGTTTGTTCGGCTGAAGTGGTTGCATTAGACTGAGTCACCGTCGAGTTTTGAGAATCTGAGGCAACCTTTGGCGCCTGTGTATCTTCTAAAGGTTTGACTTCCTCGGGTTCTGTAGTTGATCATAAAGGGTAGAGAAGTGTGGCGTCACAAAAATTCAAGTTTTTGAACTTATGGGATTGGTTGGTATATTCAGAAAGAACAAGCTGAAAAAATCCTTGCCAAAAATCAGTCTGTTAGTGAGAATAGGCCCTTTGCCATTCACGTGGTACAAAACCACCATGCTGGGACGTCGCACTAGGGTAAGACCAAGACAAGGCATACATAATTTTAAATGGTAATTTCCTTTGTTTGTTTTGTCCCAGTGCGACTTTTGCGTCCCAGCATGGCGGTTTTGTACCACGAGAATGGCAAGCTGCAAAGGGCCTATTAGTTGGGGAGAAGTAGGTACCGTTATGCTCTGATGACTTCATTAGGATTGGCTTGGATCGTGATTTTACGATTTAAGCCTATTTTAGAAGAACTTACATGGAGTCATCGGAGCATAAAGGTGCTTACTTCTCTTCTCTATTACAGTTTGGACGTATTCGAAGTACTTAGAAACATTATTGCAGTTATGTTGTGAGCACCCTAAACGTTATCAAGTTCAACTACAGGGACATTTTTAGAGAACACCTCTCCCGACTGAACATTATTTCTGGCCCCAGGAACGCTCCGCTAAGGAAGGTTCCGCATTAGGACGCTGAAAGGTTAATTGCGCCTGTCCTATTGGCAATTAACAGACAAACTGCCAATAAACCCCTTTATTCATAGCATTTTAATAGTCAGTACCTCCAGCTTTTGTGTCAGATCTTTGTGCCGCAGCGTCCTCCACAATGGCTTTTCCTCTAGTAACATCCAGCGTCTCCTTGTGATCACCTTCGATCACCTCCACGCTCGGCTTACGGCTGTACTTTGCTCCCTTCTTAGGCACGTCGATCTCAATATTCTCGATCATTGGCTTTGTGATATTCTGTTTGAGTACCATAAGTGGCTTAACAAATGCCGAGGTTGTAGTTTTGTTTGGCGGCATGATCCTGATCTCCTGCATTTGAGGTACACCATTCACAAGTTTGGGCTTCACTCGGAGAGTGTATTTGGCCACCAGGGGCTTGTCGCTTGCAACGGGTGCTATCAGATCCGACTGCAATTCTGATGTGTCGAGGTCCTTTACTTCACTGGGCATTATCTCCTTCGTTTTTGGCGCAGACTCTTTTTTATCCTTGGCTAAAACAGAAAGGAATGTGTAAAATAGTAATAGTAGAGGACTCTCTTATAGTAGACGGACACCTTGGTAAAACGGACATATAGAGTTGTCCCCACTTTTTTTAATCGCTCTTGGACGGACACTTAGTGATGGTCCAAAAGGTATCTGTCTTAGAGAGAGAGTTGACTGTGTTATTTTCGACTTTGTGAAAAGGATTACTTTAGTGGCCTCAAACACCGTTTGTTCCGCCGCCTGTTGTTCTTTGTTATCAACCGAACAATAGGTATACCGTATAGATGGCTGCATGCGGGGTACTTTCAAACAGTTACTTTGGTGACCTCAAAGACGATGTTTGCCACAAAATATTTTTTCACGCTCTTAAAATATTATGAGACCTCAACCAAGGCCCAGCCTAAAATGTTGGAAGAAGGCTGCAAAATATGACCGGTTTCAGACTAGCAAAGATCATCACGCAATGATATCATCACGCAAGGGTATGGGTTTTTTCTGATGAAACGATTTTGGGCTTAAATTTGCCAACATAACCCTTGTAGTCGTTTCCGAATTGAGCGTCGTGAGACATTTTTATCGTGGTATATATTGTTAGACTATGTGGTTGACCGAGCGGCCACAAAACAATCTGGCAGTGGGCCTGCTGAAGTGTCAAAGTGACTGTTTGTTGCAACCATGATATTAGACCTCTTGTGTGTTTTGTTTTCTCAATGGAGGTCATGTGAAAAAACTCTTTTGTCCTTTCTTTCAAATTTCGTCTCCTTCACGTGAATACAACACAAAGGGTCGAATTCCCCTGAGACGTTCATTGGGAAAACAAAAAAATTCAAGCTAAAGAGGCCAATTTCTTTGCCTTTCACATACAATTATAGCTTGCGTCTCAGACGTACAATGTAATTTAACCTCGGTTAGTTACATCTGCGAAGTAGCGAAGAGATCCTTGCTCTGGACCCCCCAACGGATTTAACGTTTTACGGGAAGTGCTTTTCAAATTTCCTTTCATCCCAATTAGCAAATCGACAATGACTTTTTATCAGACCAGTCATGATGCGTACTCAAATCCAGATACACAGGTGGGGGCCCAGGACAACGATTTCCGCGCTGTTTCGCAAACGGACTTAACCAGAGTTAAGTTTCTTCTGTGGCACAGGCTTATACATTAGAGAGCGCTAAAAATAGATTGGTTAGAAATAGTTTTACCCTTGCAGAGGTTGCAGGTTGCAGGACAGTTCATTTGCCACCAGGAGTCATTGCAGTTTGAGTAACCATAACCACAGTCTTTGTAGAGGTCGTCACAGTACACGTTAAACACGTAAGGCACTGTAATATAAAATCAACATAATTCTCGAATAAAGATAATCTTGATATTACATCCCATTTACAAAAATCAAGGTATTTGGTAACAACCTGTTTAATACTATCCCTTAATAGGCGACTTAAGAGGCCACAAGAAGAGAGTCATCCGTGAGGAACTCTTACAACGGTTTCTAACATTCAAAGCTTACTTTGATTTGTTTGTAGACATAAAAGTGCAATAAGAAGTAACCAGAGAAAAATTCAGTGCTAGTGGTCTTTTTTTGGAGTCTTAATTGAGTTACCAGGCCCTAAACGTAAAAAGACTTGTGAGAGAGTCCAGTTAAAACTCGCCCGAGTGGCGTTGTCCCTTACATGATACTGAGATCTTTGCAACAAGGCAAACGGCTGTTGAGTTGCCACTACATGTGTTGTACTCAAATTCCATGCGTTATAGGGTAGCTCTGTTCAATTAACGATGGGACTCGTGAACCATATACTATGCCTGGACTGTCCCTGTCTTGCGCCAGGAAAATCATAGGCTTAGTGCTAAGTAAACAACTCGTCGTTCAACGTTAGTTGTTATTCAGCATTATTGGTGGAAACTTTATCCGTACATGAAACCATTTACTTCCCTAAAAATCTTACTATTCACGGTGTGATATATATCCCCTGAGGGAACAGGATCAAATAATCTCGGGTCCACACCGGTGGCATGAAGGCCCCTTCTAGTCCAAATGAAGTATCTCGGTGCCTTGCCTCTGCGACCTAACTTTCTCCAAAAAATAATCAAGGGACGGGCCCCCCAGTAAAAATTTACAAGAAGATAAAAAATGTATATAACTCACTTGGGGGAGCCTTTGGCATTTCGGGACATGGTTTGCAATCTTTCGGCCGCGGGACCTTTCTACAGCATGTCCAGGGAGTATAGACAGCTCCGTCAGAATCAACCGTAACATCCTGAGTAAATGACTGGCCGGTGGAGGTGACGTCCAAAGAACCTGGTCCAGACAAAGTCACACTTGCACCATTAGGACTAAAATGACCTTTCATTTCACTAGATGCATCCGTGTTATCAACGTGAAGTTTATGTTCAGAATTTACCTCTTCCGCTGACATGTGAAATGAGGATGGTGGCAGCGAAACTGGAGGTGATGTGTTTGGTGGCTCTTTGGATGCTTTGTCTTGAACTAGCGGTGAAGCATTTAGGAGTGATTGCAGATGTTGTGCTAATAAATGTGTCTGTGCTGCAGATTGCAATTGTGCAAGTGATTCATTTGGTAAATGCGTCTGTGGTCCCGACTGCAATTGTGCAAGTGATTCATTTGATAAATGAGGCTGTGCTCCAGATTGCAATTGTGCAAGTGATTCATTTGATAAATGAGGCTGTGCTCCAGATTGCAATTGTGCAAGTGATTCATTTGATAAATGCGGCCGAGCTCCAGATTGCATTTGTGCAAGTGAATCATTTAATAAATGCGACTGTACCCCAGACTGCATTTGTGCAAGTGATTCGTTTGAAGTGGGCTGACTGATGAAGAATGTTAGAACTGAATTCAGTGGCAGTGGCTCGACCAATGATGTGTTGTTACCTTGTGCAATAAAATATACACGAAAGTTTGTGCCTTTTGAAACATTCCACAACAACAAAATAATACTCATAACGTAGTGATATTTGTATTGGGATTTTTAAAATTAAGTTGGTCTAGCGCTTGAATTAGACTTGTTTATAGCGATGGAATAACAGAAAGGCACCTTTTGGTCGCCCTACGGTCTACTCCAGAGAAGGCATTTCCGAAAACGTTTTTCGGCTTTCCCAAATCCAGTAAGCTTTTTGGTTCAAGGTGTGGTTCCAACTGACCTTATTGTGAAAATTTAAACATAGCCACATCTTATAAGACATTTCCTTAGGCTCCGGCGTTGGTCATTAGCTTTTGACTTACTTTGACTTGCTTTTAAATGGCAAAGTTCTTTTAAGAATACGAAGCGATCATCAAATCACATATGTTCATTACCTGTTGCGACTGTTTGGTTTTCAGTGTTGTTCCCTGCATAGGCTCCCATCAAGACTGTTTCATTCGACTGGGTCTCATTAGCCACGTCTGGCTGAAAGCCATACCCAGGTTCCTGGGTATTGTTTGCCACCGTGACCGTTTGGTTAAGGAGCTCAATGGTCTGGTTGCCAGCAGCAGGAGGGAATTCTTGTGACCGATTGGTGTCTACAGACTGGTTACCTGCCCAAGATTCTGCTGCCTGTGCGACAGGTTGTTCAACTGCAGCAGCTGTCTGTTCAGCCTGAGGCACTGTTGCAGCAGGAGGAGCGGCTGGAGCAGCAGCTGCCGATGCATCCGTCTGCGGCACAGATGAAGCTGCAGGTGCAAGAGCAGCTGCTTGGGCCGAAGCTGGGGCTACAGGAGCTGCAGGGGCGGCCGATTGCGTCGTAGCTGGGGCTGCGGGGACCACTGGTTGAGCTTTAGCTGGGGAAGCAGGGGCTGCTGGTTGAGCGGCAGGTGAGGCACCGTATGCAGGTGCCGCAGGCATACCCGCCGCGTCCGTACTTGCCCCAGTCTGCTGTTGTGCAGACGCTTGCTGGTTAGGATCAGCAGACTTATCGGCATATTTCAAGTATACAGGATGCTCCTCAGGAAACAGGAATTGCCAGTTCCTGTAGTTGCTCTTATAATTAAAAAGAGTGTAACTGGTTGTCGGTGGCCTCTCGGTTGGTTGGTAGTCGTAAGGGTTGCTGAGGAAAACTACGTCTCGTCTACCGCCGGGGGTCTCATCTCTCTTGTTAATGACCTTATGTTTTGAAGTATGTTTGCTCTTATGTTTTCTCTGTCCAGAGATTCCATGCTTTTTGTCTCCCTTTTTGATGTACAAAACGGCTGGAAGTTGCATGAGATCAGGACCTGCATAGTGATTACGTGGTTAGCATTTTACAGTGTTTTTCCGCCTCTCGCGGTAAACCCAAAGCCGATGGTAACACACTGACAAACCATGGAAGACACAGACATTGCAAATCGAAGCAAATATAAGCAGCTGACCTAAAGTGACTAAAAACGCCTTCGACAAGACGTGATTGGCGAAGAAAATGGCGCGAGATTTATTTGCCATTCACGTAGGTAAGCAGCCATAACCAAATTACTTGAAACTTGCTCCAATTTGCGATAATTGGTTTTCCTTTTTGCAATCCGTTAAAAACTGTGGTGCTCTACCAGAAGGGGGTTAAACAGAGAAAAAAGTCAGTTTTATCAACTTTTAAGTGAAAAGTCGAGGTTTTGAGTACCTTTCCACATTTGAAAATAAAGGTTTGTGGCAATTCAGATAAACGGATGGTTTCAGGAAGGATGTACTCTCGTCGGAAGAACGATCGCGACATTTATTTAAAAAGAACTTACTGTGAAACTCCGGAAGAGACTGGCTCTTGAAGAAGCCTGCAAACGCTGCCGTATTTCCGGTTATCTCCTCTCACTACCCGAAAAGGAACGTGTGAAACACGTTCGAAAATGGCGACTGTTCACGAAATCCACTCTTGAAGAAGCTCGAACGTGGGGGGGGGGGGGGGGGGGATTGGCAGTGGAATGTGGAGGACTTGTTTTAATTTTTGTTCATTCTTCTTAATTCGGTTGAAATGTCAGGGCATAACAAATTAAGGAACACCTCGGAGTACACATTCCCATATAAGTACCATTATGACTTTTATGCTAAGTATATTCAACTGAATTTCATTTATTTCAAAAGCGATTATTTCGGGATATTTTAACTCACCCTCGTATTCACAAAGTCTGCACATCCGAGGGCAGTTTAGCTGAACCCAATGTGAGGCGCAGTCCCAGTCACTGTACTTCGGGCAGTATGAATGATCCACACAAAAATCACCCTTAGGGGCTAGTGGGTGAAAGTAGGACAGTTAGTTTCGCCAAAAATATAGTGGGATCATTGCCACCTACCCCTCCCCTAAGCTAACATTAACACTTACTTTTCACTTAGGGCAAAATGTTGGCTTAGGGGAGGGGTAGGTGGGCAGTTTCTCAGCAACGTATCGTGATCTTAATATTGGACTTTACTGAATGTGATATAGCGTTGCAGTTACAATGCCTTGCCTATAAGCAATCACCTAGGTTATCGCTTGTTTGAGTTATTTTTAATTCCTATCGTTAAAAAAATTACCGTTGTTCTTCTTGCTTCCGCTTTTGTGAACATCATGTTTGGATGTCTTGATAGCTGGCGAGAAAACAAAACTGTTCCATAAATAACACTTAAATGAAAAGGTTTGTAATGATTGGAAGGTAGGTAGGCAAAGCGTAATTCTTCATTTTTTACATCTGGTGAAGAAATTGTCTATCCTGTAGTCTCCTGATCAAGGAATGCTGGCAATTTTTAGGTATTGGTTGTGACGGGACTGGTGTGTCGAAATGCGCAATGGGACCGGTATGTCGAACTGCAATATGGGACTGCTTTTGGGGGGGAAATTTTACTGCAGCTTCTAGCGTCCTATAAACAGTGCCATAATACAATTCAACCCCATGGCTACCAAGTCTCACTCAACCCCAGATCTCTTTGCATCCAAGATGGCCTGTGAACAGTGTCTTAGTCACGGTATATGATTCTGCTTATTATTTTTTTTAAAGGAGCCTTTTAATTATTGAGTGGGCAGAAAAATCATGGCTTCATTGACCGACCCGCGTAATAAACATTAGACTGTAGGCAATTTTAGATAAATCTGAAAACGACGGGCCGCTCGGGTAATTTTTTTTTTAATTTTACCCGAACAGTATTTGAAACCGTCGTGAATTTTTTCGTGCGTACGCTCTTAAAATTTACATAAATAAGATAAATAAATAAATGAGAGTAAATGCTTAAATAAAAAAGAAATTATGAAAGGTCGCGCGTAAGCGCAAACGTTGAGCGAGGTTAAACTTTAACGTTAACACGCAACCAATTGTCTATTCTCTATTTTATTTTATTGTTTATTTTGCGTGCGTTAATTAACATGCGTCCGCACATAAAAATTATCCAACAGTGGAAATCCACCTTAAGTTTAATAAACGCAAATTTAATGGGTTCAAGGGATACAATAAACAGAAGTTTTTGAGGCGGGACAATCGTCCTATAATATCCTCAAAAGATCGTGCTGGCATGAGTTAATGATGATTATAAAGCATAGTTTTGGACATTTTACAGTGAATTCTTCAGGTCTCTAATTTAAGGATGAGGAACACTTTTCGAGACAATTTATCCAAGAAATTTCAAATAGTTTGTTTTTGAAATGTTGCTAAAGGTGTTTTGTGCAGGGATTTACACGAGAGCGGGTGGCGCCGTGTCAACTTTTAAATACAAACGGGTGTTTCCTTCGAAATTGGCGAAACTAATATCATGAATTATTGACAATGGTAAAAGGAAGTCATTTCATTACAACTAAGATCTTAATCACATGGCGAAATGAAGTATTAAAATCTCGTTCGGTTCAATGAATGTCGATAAAGTTTTGAATCGATAGGCGTTGAGACTCAAAGCTTTTCGTGTGTCTCTCCTGAAGGGTTTTTGTGTTAGTTTTAGATAAATCACTGCTGTCAGTTGATCTATTTCTTTTTATCTAGAGAGAAGCTAATATGTCAGATAATCTTTCAGGGAAATCTATTTACCTTTGGCTTCTATAACTCCGTACTGTATCTCCAGAAATAGTAGTACTAAGAGGGCTTTAAATCCGTAGCCAGACCTCGTCAGCTTCATTATTTCTATTTAAAGTGAAGAACAGGTTACTGACACTGGTGTTTAAAATTGGCAGCTAAATAACTTAATACACAAGCAAGAAATTCACTACTTTGATCCATCAAGGGAGATATTTCATATATTGGAAAATGAACTCGTATTTTGCACCATCTTTGCTTATTTGGGGAGAAAGAACGGCCCAACACGATTTGATCAGCGGGTTAAGGTAGATGTTATCTGTTATCTAATGGAAGATTGATCATTCTTACAATCCACCGATGCATCTACCGCATCAATTGTTCTTTTTGTAATAATACGATCGTGCAAATAAGAATTCCAGTTGTTTTCAGATTTTAAATGAAGTTTTTTTGCAAAAATATCTTTGTGCGCCGAGCAGGGAATTAAAAAATAATATCGTTTCAGGGCAAAAACGTTTCACGGGCAATTATTTTCTTGTCAACGTGACTTCTAGTAAGCCTTTCAACTGAGAACAATCAGTGACTGGAGAAACAACATCGTTCTTGTAAGCCTAGACTTACCTCGTTTGAGTTTTTATCGTTATAAGGATGACATCGAGGAAATTGCCAACGGTCCTCACTAACGTTGTTTTGAATTTCAAAAATATGATAAGATTTAAAACAATAATTTTCACAGCTTTTTCAATAGCTGTTATTATACATGAGCCGGCAATTCAGCGGTTTTCAGACAAAAAAGAATTGTACGGCCGGCAGAACAGGGGCCATCAGCCTCGTTTCCATGGAAAGGGTGCTGCAATGTACGGAGCTTGGGCTTTTCAGTTATAGGGAGTTTTCAGTCACGTGGCCAGGAGTATGGCGTTAACATGAGAAAACAGGTCAACACCAACATGGCCGCCGTTTTACTGTCTTGGGAAACCAACATGGCAAGGAATCTCGAACGGATGTTACGAGAAAAGATCTTTGCCGTAATTTGACCCTTCCACTTTTGATAGTGGCCATTATGAAAATTCCCAAGGAAATTCAAATTTTTGTTGTATAATCATCAGATAATACATATAATTTGTGTCATGCAAGGTTCAACAAAAGAGGTTTTATTTGAGTGGTAGGACCATGCGATTTCGTCCATATAGCTATCGCCATATGTAAGGGAATCTGGAATCCGGGGCTTGTGAAATTCGGAATCCTAGGCTTTAGAATCCGGAATACAACTCAAGGAATCCGGATCCCACTACCGTCTGGAATCCGGAATCCGCATTCCATTGACAAAGAATCCAGAATCCGGTACCTGGGATCCAGAATCCACGACGTGGAGTCCAGAATCCAAGACTGTATTGGATTCCCTCACATGGAGCGATCTATTGACCGATAATCTCTCCATTAGGTGATCGAGGGGAGAAAAGGTAATCTTTACATGGACTGCCAATCAAGCATCAGCTTTTCACTGATGATGCTATCATTTAAAGATGGCGTTTGTTGTTGAGTGGCCAAGGTTTCCTTAATTTTACAGTCAAAGTTTGTTTTGCCGGGTGTCAAAATGGTACCAGCCAATGACAATCAAAGACAGCGGCGTGTGTTCGACTTATCTCGACCCCTGACTATCTTTCGTTTGCGAAGATGAAGACGATGTCATTCGTCCCTGCGAAATCTGTGGGATGCTAGATACGTGTCCCAAGTTCTCTTCAATCAATCAAGGACGGTCGACTCCTGCAATCTCATTCTATCGTGTTAAGAGTGTGTTCTACGTCGAACGTATCGTCATGCTCAACCTGCTTATGAAATGTTGCGGTTGGTGGTTTGGATATGTTTTGCAATGTATGGTCACCTTTTGGCGAAGGTTTTAAATGTTCTCTTTGCTATTCTTTGTCCTGTTTTTCCCATTACCATCACCTTTTTTTGCTCAGGTGTATCAATGGGTACGGGCGCCGTAATTGTGAAGTTAACCTTGCAATGGAATAGCATCCCATCCAGGGGGATGTAGTAGTGTCACTAAGGGCTGTATTGCACCCAGAGGGTAAAATAAGTCCTGGTGATATACTTCTAGGGTTAACCCCGCAATGGACTAGCATCCTGTCCAGGGTGGACTAGCGATACTCCTTGATGCTTCATGCTATAGAAACAGGGTTAGGTTCCGGTCGTCTGGACCTCCTTGGCTCGCGCGCGCCAATACTGTTACAATTAAATCACACAGAGCTTTTTTTAGTGTTAATTAGCAAAACGTTACTTTATTTCCAGTCACAATTAGTCAGTGCTTAACACACAATAAAACAGAATTTCAGGACAATTTTCAAGACAAATACGTAGCTTAAACAGTTAGTGTTGCACGTTAAAACTGTACCTATTATCTCGCCTCACCAGCGTAAGAGACTACTGAAATTTTATAGTAACCAGAAACCTTAAAAATGTTTCTAATTTCGTGTTCGAGTTGAAACCTAAAGCTAACTTAGGCATCTGCCTACGTTAGTACATCCGGTAATAGTTTCATAGCAAAAAATGTTTCCTGGTGTATTGAGCAAAACAAAAAGTATGACAAAACATTTCATTCAAGAAATTATAACCAACATGTATTCACTCCTCCTGCCAACATATGCAATCGCGAGATTCGTGACGCGTCAAACCGGCATCCTATCCTTAAAGTTTATCTAAAAACAGGATTTTCATAATTGCTCAACTGCCGCAACTCTTTTATATATCTTAATGTCAATGTTTGTCTCCCTTCACAATCTTGTCACTTGACTTTTTCTTAGAAACCTTCTTCATCTTCTTGGTGACTTTTGGATTGGCGTCCTTTACATCCTTCTTCTGCGTCACGACTTTTATTTTCTTTCCAGGAGCGTCGTTAAATCTGATTGGCTGATGAACAAGCTTAACGACCACGGGCTCACCTCTAGGGTCGGCATCCATTTTGATTGGTGCTCCAAAGTTGTGATCGTGGGTGCTAAGGTGTGCATGCCCAGAAGCTTTATCTGTGGAGTATTCCTCATCCTCCTTTTCGTCTTGTGCACTTCCTGAATCTTCTTTATCCTTATCTTGGTTCTGTAGCAAAAAAATAATAACAATGATAATAATATAATAATAACAATAATAATAATAATAATAATAATGATAACAATAATAATATTGATAAAGGTACATTTTTCTTTTTTAACAAAAAAGGATGACAAAGAACTCGTAAGGACAGCAAACTTTGATGATGAGAAGGTAATAACATCAAATTTACCTAGGTGTAAAAAAAACGCTTTTAGTAAAACCCTTGTCGTCAATCAATGATTATACTGTTAACAATTAAAAGTCCGTAAAGAAAATAAAACTTTGGCTTCGTATTTTTTACTGAAAGATATACAAAACGTTGGCTTAGTATTTTGTACTCCATGACGGAAAAGCTAAAGGCATTTTTTACACGTTGAGAAGTAAAACGCTTAAAATATTTCGTTTGGCAATTTCAACCACAACTTCTGGCATGTGATTGGTTGTATATACAGTTAAGAAAATCCCCAACGTTTATTGCTAGTATTGTAGTCAATGGGTTTCCTCAAATTTATGTTATTGACTTTCATTAGAGAAGTTGGGGACTCGTGGATGCTAAATGTAGAGAGAAATTATGCAGATTTATATAGGTAATAGCATGATTTGTACGTGATATTTGGCATAAATACCACGAATGATACTTCGAAATTGTTATGTGAAATTTGAGACAATTTTGAAATATCACGAGTAGTATTTATGCCAAATATCACGTACAAATCATGCTATTTTTTGTTTATACTACTACCCACACAAGTTTTGTAATTTTCACATGTAGGTATTTCAAATTGTGCTGAAATGCCACTGCTCCAAGCCAATCAAATTGCAGAAATTTCTCATGTAGTAGTAGAATCAGATAAATGATTTATTGACTGAATAACTCTGTCCAACCTACCTCATCACTGTCGTTATTATTATCAGCTGTATCGTCATCATCATCAGCGTCGCTTTCATCACTCTTGTTCACCACCGCTTTTGACTCCTCACCAGACTCCTCACTGTCGTCTTCTTCGTCTTTTGGAACTGGTTTTTCATCAACAGCAGCTTCCGGTTTCAAACCGGTAATTTCCGGTTTGTCCTGAGCCTTCACGTCACCTTTACTGGTCTTCTCAGGAGCGACTGCCTTGATTTTCTGTATTTTCATCGCTTTGATTACTTTGTCTTTTTCCTTTTTGCTGATTGTCTTTAGAGCTTTATGAATTTGTTTAGGTTTACCGTCGTGTGAAGTAGTCTTGTGGTTCTTTTTATCAGTGTGTTTTTCCTTGTCCTTTTGAACAACAGGTTTGTCTGAATGATTATCTTTCTTGCCAAAGAAATGTCTCTTTTTGCCCATGACTATATTGCTGTTAGCTTGACGCTCTAAAATACAAGAAGCAGAGGGGTCATGTGTTAAAAAACTGCTGCGAATATACTATGATGTTCCTTAAGTTGCAGGTTCAGCTTCTTCTCAAACGCCTTTCATGCTGAAAATAATTCTACTTACAATTAGAGAGTACTATATCTCGCGATTTGCTATCTTTTTAAAAGCAAAAACTTTTCTCGCATCGCGAGTTTTGTAATTCAAGACTATGTCACGCATTTTGTGTATGGGTAAAAGGTTCTAAGTAATGACTTCAGCACAGAATTGGCCTTTTTGAAATCACAAAATCATCGTGGCATAGCCCCTTTAAAAAGAGTAATTACATGTTTTCAGGAGCCCACAAACCCAGTACGCGCCACACGTTCCTTACCATAATCACACTGACCACATTTGCTCTTGCACGTGTCTCTAACCCAGCTAAGCATGCAAGCCGAAGTGGCGAATCTTTTACAGACATCGAGATCCTGGCATCCAATAAAGACTCCATAAGGAACTAAAATGTTTAATAACACATTCAGCAATTGACTCAAATCTATGTGACATCCACCGATTAATGAATAGGCGAGAGGGATGAAGGCTTAACACAGTCGGCTAGTGAGCAACCTGTGCGGGAGAAATTTTCTCCTGACCTCAATACTTACACAACTTCTTTCCTTCCCTTGAAGTCTTTCAAAATTCAAATTCCCCGCCTATAAGTACTTGAAAGCACATGTATGTTTGACTCGAACAGCGCGGAGTTTAGCCAATCACAAATCACTGTGCAATAATTTAAATGTATACTCAATTTTCAACTACTGAATATCGACGGACTGACTCAATGGTAAGGGGGTTTGATTTGCTTACCATCGCATAGTTTACAGCTCTTCCTGCAGTTCTTTTGCGTCCACACATCTCGGCACTGTCCGTTTACAGCATAATTGTCACAATAAGGTTGGTAGTTTTCGCATGGAAACAATTTCTCTGCAATAGTAGTTTGATAGTTATGAAAGTTGGTCACCTTAATGATTTTGTCCCATTAAAAGGCTGGTTGTGTCAATGTTGGGGTAGTGGGAACAACAGGGTGGTACTTAGTAAATTAGCTCTTATACAAGTAGGAGGGCTCTTGCTAAATAGATATAGCCGTTTTGTAGGTGACGGTTTTCTCTACAAGAGCTAATTATAACCTTTACCTGACGCATCAGAAAACGTTTTAAAGCAAACCCAAAAAATGCACCACACTAACCTTTAGAATCTCTTACCTTTTTCTTCTTTCGTCAGGTTAAGTTTATCCATCATTTTATCCTGACCTAAAAAATAAAAAATTATAATTTTAAATATATACAATCGGCGACAAAATTGTTGAGACGTTGTACTCAAATAGGGTAACTTCAAAAACATAAGAATCCACACCCCTCCCCTGTCCCCCCATTGAAAGTTGGGATGTTTCTTGTTTTCTAAAGGTAGCTCGAACAGTGGCACAACATTGCATGGAGGGGATGGGGGAGAAAACCCTATCTTTTCTCCTTTTAAGTCCGGAAAACGTCAAAAAGTTCATTTAGGGCAAAGTGTCTCAACTCATTTTGTCGCCAATTGTAGCTTCCATTTTTTCGTGTTCTTGAAATTTCCATTAGCCATGTGGGCGTTGCGGTTATTATCAGCAAAGGTAAAAATACATATTGGTGTTTAATTTGATCCTAACTAGAAAGGCCTCTGGGATGAGTGGATAGTGAAAGACCCTGAAGAAGCTAGAGGTCCTCTTGATTATCTTGACGGTCCATAAAAACGCCAAAAGGAACTTGGTCAATATCAAGCCATAAATATGTACTGGACAAAATGCTTGCCGCGGCAGGATTAGCTCAGTCGGTAGAGCGCTTACTGCAGAGCGGGAGGTCGCGGGTTCGATTCCCGGGACCGCACCAATACTCAGGGTCTTAAAATAACTGAGAAATGAACGTACTCCCTTTGCGCTGCAAGTGGCTAGACCTTCGCGTGGCTCGGACTACCACGTAAAATGGCGGTCCCGTCTCCAGCAGGAGACGTTAATATAGTGTCCCCAATTAGCACTTTCGCACTTTCGTGCTAAATACATTGACACTCAAATAAAGTGCATTTATTATTATTATTATTATTATTATTATTATATTATTATTATTATTATTTGTTGCTGTCCAAAACTGAACCTCAGCGTGTAGAGTAGAAGTAACGAAACTTGCCCATGGGTGTTCCGTCAAAAGGTTATTACACACCTTGAAAGGACACGATAGGTTTTCAATATATATTACTTACCCGTTTTGGGCTTTGAGGGCATCACTATAGCCTCTGCAGAGTGAGGAAAAGTAAATTCAGCATTAAATACCATTGCAATTTAGCGAAACAGAAAACCATAACAAGGGTTGTAACTGTTCAAGGCTGGTATCTTCGCTGCTTAGAACTGTCTAATGTTAAAAAATATAAAACGAATTGCATATTTCTTATGGCTTTGTTGGCTTCTCTTAAAACACGCTAGTGATTGAAGCTCGGTGTTAAAGGAGAACTAGGCAGACACATGACGAGAGTAACTTCGTCACCATTGGCAGAAAGACAAATTGAGGACAGGAGGTCACGTTTTTTCCATTCCTCGGTCTTTCGGGTTTTCATTTGATTTTGCATTTTCCTTGCTAAATCTTCATGATAAGAATAAGGAAGTACAGGTTAAGCCAACCACGCCAAAAACGTATGGCTCTTTCTTTTATCTTCTTATCCAGCCCTTCTCCTCGCTGCTCGCGGAAGATAACTTTAGAACACGCTTCCCATTTGCGTGATATCGCGAGAAATCACGCACGGACGGAAAGTGAGAGGAGCGCGGCTCGTTTCACTCGCTACCAGAAATGGAGAGTTTGCTCGCAGGCTGCGTGCTGCACCCTCTCTTGTATTGGTAACTAGACGGCCCGGAAACATACCACCCCTGAGGAAAATTAAGAGGTTATGTATTTGTGGTCTAAGCTCTGGGTTATATATATCATGGTAAATTTGTAAAGTTCATACCTGCCATTGCTGGAGGTTTAGATTCCTTTGTATCAGCGCCTTTGTGTTTAACAATGAAGGTTTCGGGGTCTGTATATGTGTGTAAGTGGACAATTCAAGTTAAATTCGCTGTAGAAGAGAACTGATATATCATAATAATAGTAATGTTAAACTGAGTGATTGCTTCAGTACTTTGCACTCAATAATATCACGAGTATATGTTATATGTCGTAAGGTAAAAGTAGTGAAGGGGCGAGGGCTAAAATGATTTGTTTTTATTTGCAAATATTGTGTTTTGATAAAATTCACAGAACTTCAGTATGGACTACTATGGAAGTCTGTAAATTTGGACTATTCCAAGTTGCGCAAAAAGAACGATGATAATTACAATTTTATACCTCAATGTGTTTTATTTATTTCATTAGCGTTACCAGCGGAACTCCACTGGTCATTGTTATTTGTAACCAGAAGAAGTTTGTATCATGCTCAATTAAAAATTTGCTTCCACATATAAATATATGAAAAATAGTTAAACCTAGAAGCCTATACAATATGTCGTCCTTTTCCTTACAAAAGAGTGTGGGTGTTAAAGGCGTTTATGAGTCCATACATTCCTTGAAAATTTTCGACCTATTAGCCCGTCCCAGGCTTTCAGTTAATATAGAAGAAGCAAAGGTAACGGAACAGGAACAATGGAGAGAAGTGAGAGAAAAATATTCAAATTTGTCTTATTTTAAGTTCCTGCTTCTTTCGTCCACCGTTTTTGCACTTTGTTAAAGGGCCATAAAACATCGGTTAAATACAACTCCGTTTTCGTTTTACCCGAGGTAAGAGCGTTCAGTACCTTCCACAACGTTAACGTTCCGTAGTAGTAGCGTCCTATATCATAAGGTTCTCCTCTCTGCTTACCTGACGGAGGCCCTTGTACTAGAGCCCCTGTTGCTTGCTGACTCACTTGATTCCCTTGTGGCGTATGTAAGTCCATTTTCACGCCGTTAACTTTGATTTCTTAGACGAAGAATATAAATCGAATCAGCTCCTTGTGAAGCAGAACTCCTTACACAGGAAATTTTAAATGGTACTTACCTGGTAACTTTTGGTCTTTCTTTCCAACAACCATGGCAAAAACTGAAGTTTGTAACAGATAAAGTAGTAGTAAATAGATGTACTATTTCAATTTCTCGATTGAATTTGTAAACTCCTCGATGGCTTCTATAGGTAATCTCGTATGCCAGTGGAACAACATGAAATCAAAGACGCCACTTCTCTCATGCTCTCACATAATTGCATAATGCACAATATGATAGAAAGATAACTTATCTCTTCAGTCGCCTAAGAAGATAACCTCCCACGCAGACGTTCTTAGGGGTTCCTGCCCCACTAAGTGGGGCAGTTAGTGGTGCAGGAACGCGTGACGAACCCCTAAGACCGTCTGCGTGGAAGGCTACTGAGAAGCTGAAGGACTTACATAAAGGAGCAATCAACGCAGTGGATTTTTTTCTTACTAAGCCGACGCAATCGTACCTGTGTGTTGTTGTTGTTGTTGTTGTTGTTGCTGTTGAGCGTATGCGCAGAAAGTGATTGACAGCAAAACAGCCAATAGAAGCTGTCCTCGGTCCATAATGACTTCTTGTTGATGGAATAATGAAAAAGCACGGTAGTTAGATTTTCAAAGAACTCAGGGACGGCCTCTCACCCGTGCACTGAGTCTCTCCTCATTGCTAGGTGATAAAAACCTGGGAAAGTAATTAAGGTCGCAGGGATGCTGGGAAGGGCAAAGGTCCCTTGGTGCAATGAATTCTCTTCACGTTTGTCAGAGCGCCCCTGGAAAGGAGTCTGTTTATGAAACGACCACCAGTGAATGCAAATGAATTCCTGACGGGTGGGGTTGGGGGAGGGGGGAGGAAATAGAAAAAGAAGATGAGGATAAACGTTTTATATCTGTAAGTACACTATACAAGCTTGAAAGAAAATACTTAAAATTTCCTGTTTTTATTAATCTTTACAGACTTTTTAAAATTTAGTAAGAGGTACGTTACACACTATATCACATTCGCCTAAAACAGAAAAATGCAACCCCGGCGTGCCAATAAATAAACTTGGAATTAATGGCAGTCGTTTCGTTTGGACACCCTACCATACAATTGCTATTAAAACTTACAGTTGGGTAAAGAACATCCTATAGTCTTATTCATAACGGAGGTTGTAAGGTTCCGCTGTATTAGAATTTTAAAAAATGTTAGATAAATCCATTTAATAGAATTATTGTAAAGTTTTTTAGCCATATGATTGTCACAATGATCTTGAAGTTCTGGTTTCTCACACGAGAGACTTAAAACTTTTGATATGACCCTACCTGCGGTTTTTACAAAACTCAATTGATCCGTCAGTGACGTAATTTTTCCCTAATTTAATTCATACGATGCCAGATTAATTTAATAGATTAATTACTATCCAGACAATTGATTAAACAGTTTTATCAGCGTTATAGTAAGGGAGGATGTTATATGGTGATCCCCTTTTTATAAAGAGATTGTTTTGATGTGAATGGAAAAGACAGTTGTTTATTCTCCTTTGACAGCTATCTTTTATCTACCAGTTGACATATTCTGATAGAAAAAAAGCTGTCAATGAAATCAATCAATCTCTTTTCTGGCTATCCTTCATCCGATCTCACTGTCGACTTCTTCATACTCATAGAAAGCATAAAATTCATTCTTTTACATTTTCTTGATCAAATAGCTGGCTATGAAACTATCTAGCTTCAAAGGTGTTGACCCTAAACAAATATCACAACATCATCATAAGGAAATTTATAACTTCAAGATCATCTACCTTCTCTAATTTTATAAAAAGTTACGCTCATTTTAATATATGCTCAGAGGTTATTTAGATACCAACATGAAAACTCTTACCTCTCAAGATTATTGTTTCTTTTTTGTTGTGGAGGTTAGATGAAGTTTTGATGATGGAATTTATGTCATAGCACTAAAATACTAAACAGCGCAGTGAACGATGTTGTCTCTCTTGTCACGTGACCTCACGACAACGGGTACTTTTATTTCAAAACCAAAAACACCAACCATAACACGTTTGTTTGGCTTTCTTAATCACGCTATTGCTGGTGTCAGTTTTTGTGGTTCCAGATGTCTTTGAAATCGTTTTTACAAACCCTAGGAGAACTATAACAATCATCAGTCACAAAAAGCATTAACGCCAAGGGTGAGAATAAGGAGTTATTGTTCGGCTTTCAAGGATTCTCAAAAATTGAGAACTAGTTGATATTGCGAAAAAGTACTATCATTAATTCACTTTTTTCCCAGTTTCAGAATATTTTGAACTCCCTGCTTTCCGTTTTTACAAGAGACTACTGTGATTAACTTCGGTGCAACACCACTTCAGTGACCAGTGCGGTGTCATAAGTTATCTTCGGTGATGCGTCAATCTTCGAGTATATTTTTATTAATTCGTTGATGTTTAAAACCAATTATGTAAACAAGTCAGAGTTATTGCGATTTACCCAGTACTTGACTAGTGGGTGAATATTTCTTGTCCAAAACTAACAAGGTAACTAAAGTAAGAACGTTTTTATCTGCAATGTACAAGCTGAGTTAAAGACAAAATTGTAGCTTTTCTTAACGTATTTATCATGGCTTTAAGCTGTAAAAGAACAATTGCACGATGACATCATTTTTACTACAACCATCAGAATCCTTCAGTTTGTTGTTTTCTTGAGCAAATTAGGGCTATTGTTTCAACCTCTGCGGGATGAATAACTTTAGGTAAAAAATCACAAAAGAAACGAATTCTTGTAGTTGAAGTCAAATGTCGTCATCATGAAATGGCCTAACCTCTAATAGCGAGGTGTTAAAACAAATAACATTATCGATTGATTATTTCCCTTTTTCTGTGCTTATTACAGCTGTTTTCATAGTGCTGCACAGCCTTCAAGTTTTATACCCTGGCATAACAATATTTCCAGATATTATTAAGAATGGCCCTGAACCGGCAGTTAGGTATTGAATGGAGCAATTAAGTTAAAGCAAAACACCTTTTTGCCCTCTTTCGCTTAGCCCTTATCTCTATGACCAGCGAACAGAGTTTCCTTCAATCTTCCTAGGAATGGTCAAAGGGACTCTGTTAGCTGGGCGTAATCTTTACTCAGAAAACCAATTGTAATAAGAGAGACAGCAATAAAACAGAATATTTATTGTTGGCAGTTTTTCGCCCTTGGTGTTTTTAGTTTTTACGGTTGACAATTTGCTTTGCATGGTGGCTAATTTTCCTGCAAACACCTTTGTGGCAACTTATACAGGCACTGTTACAGTACCACACAAGTTTCTCAATTGAGGCTGTATATGCATCTTTTTTGAGCCGGTACTTCTGCTGCCTTCTGAGACAATTTTTAGAAATGTTACAGTGGTATTTTATTTAAGAATACCCCATGTTCCTTGTCATATAGTGTCCTTAGACAAGGAATACTTACTTTATGTGCACTGACCTCGTCGCGTCCGGATGATTTTTCTGATGTAGTTACTTATATATCGTAATGATAATTAACAATTATTCCTCGAGCCCGAACGGGCTCTGAGTCAATAGCCCATGAGGCCGAAGGCCGAATAGGCTATTGACTCAGAGGCCATGAGGGCGAGTGGAATAATTGTTTTAGTAAAATCTAACTAGTTGGTCAAAAATATCGAGAATAGAAAATTTTAGCTAGTTAAGGGAGACTTTAATCCTTTTTTGCCGCCAAAAAGTCCTCGCTTTTCGCTACTAGGGGGCTATAACATATAGCCTAGTAGTAGCTCAACCAATCAGAATGCAGCAATGATAATAGACTACTAGTTGGATTTTACTAACAATATTTATTGGGGGAGGAAGCTATACTTTTTTGGGGGGGGGGAAGCCTCTACCCCTCAAATACCCTAAATAGAACTCTGACTGAAATATAACTTTAATCTTAAATATCGAAAACCTGACTGAGTTACAGTTTAAGGTTAAGGTAATGGCCATTATAGAACATAAACGAGATACAGGTAGGGTGGCTACTGTAGCGTCTAGCACACTCTTCCAGAGAAGTCGATCGGGCGTATATAAACCACATGTCGTTTCCAGGGCAATCACCAGGTCTCATGGCGTAGCCAGTTGGGACTTTATCATAAAACAAGTCGTTTGGGTTTTTTATAATTGGGTTAGCGCAGGTCTTGGTTTTGAGGGAGAATTCTCGGCCGTCATGCTTGAATGAGAGGCAACTGGGGATACGTTGTTGCATCGCTTGCGAATTCTGTTACACATCTCCGAAATCATTTCCAGGGCAATTACCAGGCCTCATAGCGTAACCGTTAGGTACCGTCTTTCTTGTAAAATGCTGAGAGTGTTTCTAAGGTTTATGAAGCACTTCCGGTTGTCATAATACATGAAAGCTGTGCAAGTGGAACTGGAATCACAGTGCTGTGTTCTTCTCTATGTGGGTTAAATGACTACCTACCTAACTTGAAATTATTTACAAATTGGAATTTCTTTACCTGCCTACCGTTAAACAAACCTTTCATCTCCTTTTTTGTTTTTCCTTGTAAAACTGTTACAAAATTATTCACGCGCATAAACGCTTTGCGCTCTTTGTAATATTAGCTTCTTTTTTTCAAGTGGTTTTTTTTTTCAAGTAGTGTAAATTGGATTTCATGGAGTCAGGAGCCTGAGTCGTAAACTTCCGACTCTTCATCGATCGTATACAATCGGTGTCTCCTCAAGGGTACTCGTTTGTGTTCATCACTGTCGTCATCTTCAAAGAGAGGATTGAATGTCACGTTACTGTGAACCTCGCTTTCAAACAAATCGCCGAGTGTATTCAAATCACATGTGCGTAGGGTTTGAGTACAACTGGCTGAAAATCCGGGACCCTGTCTTCTGACATGAGCTGCAAATGAGATGGTAGCCTCGATTTGACCATAGTCGTTGAACGTGGATGATGATCCCAGACTTCCAGGAAAGTCTTGTCGCTCTCTTTCATGGCTGGAGCGCTGACTTCTTTTGGTAAGAATTTTGGTTTGCAGTTTAAGTCTAGATTTATGCTCCTCGTCCACTACTTCCTGTTGCCCAGACTTCACTCTTCCAAGAATGGTCTGCCGCTGTCGTTGTCCAGCGAGCTCAGTATCCCTGCCATATGTGTCACACTCTAAATCATCTTGGTGTAGCCTATCTAAAGTCAAATCTTTTTCGTTCCTAAATCGTGCATATTTTTTCCTGTGAAATATCTTTTTCAGTGATTTCACCCTTGATGTCGACCCTCCTGAAGTACTCCACATCTCAGCTAAAAAATCCGGTTGAGAATATGACCGAAATTTTTTTGTATTTAAACTTCTCTTTTCTTGGTTAGTCTCTAAGTCAAGGAAATCTTTGGCGGAAAAATCCACTAATGAACGCCAAGGCTTTGATGTTTCAATTTGGCTTACTGCTGTCTCTTTTGACTCTTTTGAGGGCGGCAAGCCATTTGTCTCCACCAGAACAATTTTCTCTGTAGAGTTATCTAGAAAATAAGAAATGATTACGTACTTTTAAGTTATAAAAGAGGCGCAAATATATGCAAGGGGACTGCCTCTTTCGAGGGGTAAACAATGACGTTTTGGGGCTGCATCCAAGAAGATGATATCGTAGATAAAAACATGTAAATTTTTCTATCGAGAATTCAAGCTGACTTAAACGGACGCAGTTACAAAGGCAGTTTGAGGAAGCAGTCTGAGACTGCGGAACAATTTAGGTTTCTGGGAAACTGCCCACCTACCCTTCCCCTAACCCAAATTTTTGCCCCAAGTGAGACGTAAATGTTAAGGTCGAGTTAGGGGAGGGGTAGGTGGGCAGTTTCCTAGAAGCCTAAGTTGATCCGCAGTCTCAAGGTTTAGCTTCAATCTCTAGCCCTGTTCCTAAACCTAAGTTTTTCACTGCTCCCTCCTCGTTCCGTTCCTCCGCCATGACTTCATGTTTAGCTTTGGTTAACGTCCTTTCCAGGACATTCTTGTTCCTTTCTCTTGCAATTGTAAGAGTAGTAACTCGTTACATTTTAACCTGCTAAAAAAAGAATTCACCTTTTATTTTTCTAGCTTCATTTTCAAGTAAATTCCATTCTTGTGGGCTGATTTCTTCATAGAAACTGGAAATAAAAAGGTTTTTATAACATTCATTATTGCGATGTATTACTATTTTCGATAATAATAGTAATAATAATAATAATTACTATAATTATCTTTTATTGCACAGATAGAAACAGAACAATTTCATCTGCAAACAAAATCCTCCCAGATATTTCGACAAGCTATGGTATGACTAGGAAATGTAATATTGGGTGAAATCAGAATCAGAAACAGGACCACAGAAGATCATAGAACACTAAGTCATTTTTCCAGAAAACTTGAGGAGTTCTTTGAGTGCGTTTTTAATTTCTTTTCTTTTCTTTCTTTTTTTATTCAAAATTTATGATTAGGTCGAGCAAATTATTTGTTAAGACAGAACTAAACATCTTTGGTTTTAGCTGTGAACAGTAAGTAAACTTTAAATTTGTTCGTTTGCCAAAAATTTCAAACTAAACTTCACAAAAACTGATCCCAATTGTGGTTGAAATATTAAAATTGGACGATTAAATTGTATGGATATATTCTCTTTTTTCGATTAAACATGTAAGTGAATTTGACGCTATCACCGAAATAACGATTTTATGTAATCAATGTAACAGTTACCTAGTTTATGACGCAGATCGGCGATGAGCTGAAAAATAAAGCGCTCGCAAACTTTATAAGACGTGAAGCATATTCAACGTGCGACATTCGCGAAAGCGCCGTATTGATTTGAATAAGAACTCAAGGAACTCACCTTTCCAAGAGAAATTCATCTTTGTAGAAGCAACCTCTCCAGAAAAACACACAATGTCTACACCACCGACAACAAGCAGAAATCTTCGCCATAGTAAACTTTGGGAAAATTGAATATTGCCAGAACGGTCTTGTAGAAAGATCATTAGTGAAAATTGAAGGCCAAAAAAGATTGAAAAATAAATCAGTGGTTTGAAATTGCTTCAGATGTAAACGTTTATGAAAAGATTAAATAAACCTTTTAGTATTGTTTAGAAAGTGTTTTGTAATCTGTTATGATATGCTTGTTATTTTCAGCGCATCATGAATAATTTAGAAACTAATGTATCACCACAAAATATGAGTTGCGGTATATCATTTATTTTTCTGGCTCTTACACGCATGTAAACAGATTTTTTTTTTTAAAATTCTAACCTAAGTTCGAAATAGGTTACTTTCTAATTTAGATTCGATTCACATTTTCGATCGTGTGTTGACTCTGTTGACTCGATAGGAATGACCGGGGAAAGAAGCTAATATAGGATCGAAGATGAGTGAATTCAATTAAGCCCTGCAGCTGTAAGGCCATTTCCAACACTCGGCCTCACAAGCACTTGGCCCTTAAAAATTGAAAAATGTGTGAAAAAGTTGCCAAAGGCCTTTATATTTGGGTGCAATTGAAAGTGGTTCTTATGCTTTCTAGTATTTTTGAGCAAAATTTACATTAGGAAAGGAAGGAGGTTTGTATTAAAACAAGATCAACTTCAGCCTCACGTTCGCTCGAAGGCTAGGACACTAAGCCCAAAACTATAAAATGGCCTTTTGTTTATTTTATTTTGGACGCCATATCAAACATTCGGAAGAATGTTTTACCCGATCTAAAGTTTGTTACTACGGCTGCGCTATGGTTTTTTCGACTTCGATGAATCACTTCCCTCATTCTCGTGTTAAACATTCATTTTTAATACACTTTGCTGCGCAAACACAGAGGCCCTTCATGCAGTAAATAACCAGAGCGTGAACACCCATTCTTTTACCATCTGCCCTCCTTTATTCGCGCTCCTATGACGTAACCAAGCCAATTCCCCATTTAAGAAACGAGAGGGGAACTGGGCAGGGTTAGCTTCGCAAAGACTTACTGGGGACGCACCGGTCAGCTATTGGCCAATTTTTTCCCTGTCTTTAGTAAGAGTCCCAGACGTCCTTGCAAACGTTAACTCGACCCAGTTTTTGTCTCGTTTCTAAAGTGGAGAATACTATACAACTATCCCCCCAAGGGGAGGTGAGTAGTGGTAGCCTATATACCGAGACGCGAATCGTCGAGGAATATATCTAGCGTTATGAACCGACTATGAGGGGGATAGTTGTTTTAGTATTTACCAAATCAGTTGGATAAAAATCAAAACGGAACTTTTTGTAAATAAAATACGTCACTTAAAGTTTGTTTACGTTTCAGTGGACAGTGTGTCGGGAATCATCTTTTATGATTATGTTGCAAATTCAGCAACAAAATTTTTTTCTACCGACCAGTAAACACCAACAAGCTAAATTGTGTCTCTTTTTTGGCCGTATTTGTTCGTGCAGCTGCTTCATTTGCCGCTAAAATTTCTTCTTTCGAAACTGTAGCGAAACGAAAAGCCATTATGAATCCCGTCCCAAAACAGTGAATATCCAAGGATATTCCGAATTACGGGAGCCAATCAAAACGCGCGAAAATTGCTATTCACTGACGTGGTAAATATTAAAAACCAATACCTTCTGCTAATATTGACACGACAGTACACGAAAACAAAGTACCGGCTCTTTTATTGACTCACAGATAAGCACTGACAAGGCTCCTAAATTGTCAGTAAGAAGTTATGGGTTCATCTTGGTCCTTCAGTAATCAATAATCCAGCGAAAATGATATTCAAAACTGTCAATAAATTCATAATATACTCCTAACTAACGATGATTTACGCCGACCAGGAACAGGATGGTCGGATAGTCATTGTTAGCGCGAGCCTGCATTTCAGTTTGAAAGCTTAAAAAATAAAAAAAATTGCCCCCAAAGTATCCAATATCTTTGAAGATCTTACATAAACACGTGAAATTATGTGGTTATCATGTGCCTAGCCTCAAGTCTCTACGAATTTCTAAGATAGGCGCGCGCACTTGGAAACAAAAAGTTAATGTGGGGGGTGAGGAGGGTTGTATTTTAGCTTAGCAATAATCGCATCCAAAGTATGGTCGGGCGGTGGTAGCACGCACTGCCATCTTTGAGTCACCTTTGCCTTGGTGGTCGGGGGCAATTCTTGCACTAAATCTAGCAACGTTGGATCGGGCTCGCATAGATTTATACGTTTCAGAAACTTGCTGTTCTCCACCAAAGCGTTTATTAGCACAGCATCGGCGACAGAGTCCATTGAAGCGAAGTTTATCAGCGAGATTGCTTCGATAAATTGACAATGACGAATCATATTTGGAATAAACATGCTCTCGGAAAGGCTGGCCTTGCCGAAAGCTCCATATTCCAGAATCTGCAACTTCGGTAGCATCCTTAAAACCTCTGCCATAGCGGATGGGTTGATGTTAGAAGACTGATATACTCCTAAGCATTTCAGCCTGGGGCAAGATCGAGATAGAATGTATAGTGCCTCGGGCGTAAGTGTTAAACTCCATCGTACGTCCAGCATTTCTAAGAATGTTCCTGTCTCCTGTCTTGCTATCTGCAGCAGTACAGCGTCCGTGACTGCACGTCCAACACCGCAGTAGGACAAGTTGAGATACTTCAGCGTCTTCACATTGGTGACTAGACTGAGAAGACCTATCTGCGTAATGTTTGAGCATGCTGAAATGTCGAGTTCCTCTACTGGCACGTACTTCCACTCTGGAATCACGAAACAGTCATCACGCACCGGAGTATAACGGAGAAGCAGAGTGCGCAATCGCGAACACGATCGAAATAGCGTGCAAAATGTTCGTCCGTAAACGTACTTACATCCGTTTAAACAAAATGACTCTAAAAGAGGGCAGCATTCGGCCACTTTACCGATAACATCATCTGTGATTGTGTCGCAGTTTGTGCAGTCAAGGATGGCTAGCCTTTGCATCTTGGTGAACATAGAGGGGACCGCGCCTTTCGAAGAATTATTTCCAATACCCAGGTATTTTACCTCGCAGAAGTGTCTTGCTATCCGACCAAGGAAACTGAAATCCCCTTTAATAGGCCTCAATTCCACCAGTTCTAACTGTGAAGGGAACTCGTATGTGATTTCTGTGTACTTTGGAGGTGGGCTTGGTGGACGCAGCTTTGATCCGCGACTGAATATCAAATATTTCAAACTTTTACATTTTCTGTTCAATTCACTCAGTAACTCCAGCGAAACTTTACATCCGCCTAAATGAAGAATTGAAAGGGAATGAGAAAATCTTGTCCTTATGAGCATGTGCAGAGTCTCTTCGTCGAGCTTTGTGGCTTGTCGCTTCACATTCACGGCTTTCCATAATGAATGGTCATACGCCAGGCGTCGCCAGTCACTACAGACTTTGGCTACTCTTCCCAAGTCCGCAACAGGCAAAAAAGAAAATACTTTCAAAATCACTATTTCCGGCAAACAATCCATGCCGAGATGGACTGCTAGCTTATGAAGCCGCTAATAGTATTAGCGGCACTAGCTTAAAAGCGTTCACTCCATCTTTCCAACCGGCTACTTTCTAATAAAAAGGAGATAATTATACGTCATAGAAGTTATTAAACTAATACGCCTCGCGCTTAAGGTGCGTATTCGAGATGCGCGCGTGAGGAGTTTACTTTTCGAAATACTTAGATTTTTCGTTTTTTCATGTTGAGGAAATTGACAACAAAACAAGTGATTAATACAGTACCGTATCTATCAGCTTACGTTAACTTACTACTGATTGAGTGATTGAGTCGTGGATAAATGGAAATATACGAAATAAATCATGTTTTGATTGTGACAGCTTGTAAGCTAGCAATTAGATTGCGAGCTCGTTTCTGTTATGAGAAAACGGTCAGCAAAGAAACCTTAAAAAGGAGAGCGGTTAGGCGTCTAAGTTTTCCTAAATGCAATAATTTGTGACCGGTTGAAAATTCGTCTGGTTCCTTGTGAGCGTCTTCTGAAATAGTTAACGTTGGCAAGTCTGTTCCTTCCCTCTCACCATGTCAAACTCAAGTAAAAACTTTGTCAAACTCAATATTTTAGGCTTTCTTTTCGAAAAACTTTGTTGCTGCACGTCTCTAATTTTTTCCCCGAAACTCGGTCAAACTTTTCTTCTGCTGCAGTGTGCAAATAGACGCCCCGTTCAAAGACGCAACCCCAACGTCATGTTGGGAGTTGTTGCGTCTGTTTACCCCCTGTTGCATGGTGTTGCGTGTTGTTAAGATTGCCGCACGCCACGATTTGAAATCAAGTTATGATGACAGAGACACTTGTTAAAAATCACCCTGATAAATCTACAGCAGAGGAGCCACAGGACAGCTTTAAATAAGAGTTCGTAATAGTATCAACATTTTCGGAAATCTGAATTTCCGACACAAACAGGGGTTTGAGCGTTCGAGGTTTCAGGGGTTTAAAGGTCTGAGACATCCGAAATTTAAAACTCGCCCAAAACAGATATATCTGTTAAAGACCAGAAACATATTATTAAGTGAAGATTACGACAAAACACCCAAGCAATAGCCCTGTCACGTTTGTCACACCCAAGGGTTTTGCCGTCGTCCTCTTCTTTCTGTCGTTCTGTTGCGTAAACTCACTAAACTGCAAAGGACCGAAAATGAATATGCCGCAGAACGTAGGATCTAAAGAAGACCAGATCAGCCAAAATATACCAAGTAGGAAATTGAGAATTCTACAATGCTGATCGCACTACGTGAAAATTAGGGACCATCAGCAACAACGACGACAACGGCAGTGAAAACATCACTAAAAACATGAATTTGTGTCCTTTCAAACTCTACTATTCTTATTCTATTCTTTACTACTCTATTCTTGAAAACGCACAATTCGTTATATGTAGGCGAGTTTTCCTGGAGTTGAATTCTTAACGACTTTATCCATGTTCAAATAGATAAGGACAATTTGTCGTCGTATGTCCACGTCCCCCACAAAACGTCGCACTGGGACGTTTCACGTCGTAGTCGCGCAGTGGACGTCAACGAAATGTACTAAAAAGCGTGATGCACGTGCAGAGCAGTTGTTTTGCTCATAAAACCAATCATGGTTTTTTGACGTTGTCGTTGTCGTCCTCGTAGTAGTTTCTTAAGCTTCTTATTAACTTTGCAAGACATCAACACGAAAGAACCCAAAACAGAGCGGGGTTGTAGCCATCGACAGCTGTTTCGCCGTTATTGTGGCTTGTCGTGTTAGGACGGTGTAACAAACAGAAAAACTCTGCCGTAAAAATACTAGCCTGAGATCATGCCCTCTGCCTATTATCCCTTTATGTCTCTCACGGGAAGAGGGAAATTAGGGGGCGGTTGACGGCTTGTTAAATAAATGTATCAGGCGTTATTTTTTTCCCTCTCGAGCCAAAGAAGCAAAGAAGCAAAAAAAAAATTAATTAAAAAATAAAATAACGTCTGATCTCAGGTTATAAAAATACACGCTCACTCTGTTTTTTCCCCTGTGGTGCGGACGGACGAGCGGGCGACGTACGGTCATGTGACTACCGAAATTAGTTCTCGGGTGGACAGATACCAAAGAGAAGATGACTATATTGAGAGTCATTAATAGTCGAAAAAGCTCTATTAACAGTTAAGTGATCTTTGTGCAAAATGTTTTTTCCGCTCTACGTCAATTCCTTTTTCGTCTTTCCTTCGTAGATTTAATGTAATTAAAATAAAACTATGATAGAAATATTATTTATTGTAACTTAAAATAGTTTCCTTTCTTTTCACTTTATTTTTCTTTTAACTGGGCCACCTAGATTAGTAATGGCTATTTTGCGGGCCAGGGGCCCGTTTCTGGAAAGTCGCAGTAACTTTTCGGGCCCGAAATCAAATTTTCAAATCAAAATATAAAGAATACGATTGCGGGTCTTGGCTAGCAAACTACTCCATTTTGTTTCATTAACAGATAGTTTTATCATTTAGATGCAAAACCGTTGAAACCTCTTTCTCAAACTCATTAATAATTCATTAAGAAAATACAAAGGAAATTAATGTTTAATGAGTGTTTGGAAATCGGATGAAACACTGCTTGGTATTTGCATCCTTAATTTCTCCTTCAAAAATGATTTTGTTTGAGAAGAAATATCAAACATTCGACACAGTGTTTCATCACCAGATGAAACACCTCGAAGTTCGTCAAAAATACTCCGCTGCGCGTCGTATTTTCAACTCTCTTCTCGGTGTTTCATCTGGTGATGAAACACTGCATCTCATGTTTGATATATTACATCTTGCATGTAAACAACAAAGGCTTTACGGGTCCGTTAATTGTAGCGACCTTCGAGAAACGGGCCCCGGTCTATTATAATCAAAATTTTTATTAAATAAACTTGAAGTTGAAGTACTGGACACCGTGCGATTTCCAGGTAGCTGCTCCAGCGCTTTCCAGGTAGCTGCTCCTTTCCTGTGGAATAAGCTGCCAAGGTCCGCGCGCGAAGCAACGAACTTAGAATCTTTTAAGACTTTAATTAAGACATTTTTATTTAAGGAATCATTTCAGTTATCTTAGTTTATCTATATCTTTATTTGTAATTATCTTTTACTCATTTTATGTAAATATATATATATATATATTTTTATGATTTTTATAGAAAGATTTGTAAAATTTTTAGTTATTAATTACCGTTGTGATGCGCTTTTGAATATTTCATAGAAAAGGCGCAATACAAATAATAAATGTTATTGTTATTGTTATTGTTATTTTTCCAGCGATCCGCAAAAATAAGTTCCGCAAAAATCTACTCCAGAGTAAACATTCTGTAGCTTAAATTCGCTACACAAAAATACAGTACTAAGAAATCGTTTCTGTTCAATCACGACTTGTCTCTTTCATTCAGAAACAAAACGGTTATGAAATACTGGTTTATTGTTTGAAAAGATGTATTACCATTGCATAGCCTGCGCGCAGGCATTTTAAACCTTAGAAACGTTGTCGAGAAAAATGTGCACGCAACAATCCAGAAAGGTAAAATGGGATATGACCAATACACTGTTCGTGACCCTGAAGCTGACGAACCTACTTTTACTGCTTTCCTTTAGACCTCGCAAACATAAGTCCATGGCCTCTCGTGCCATTCTTTCAAATTTCTTTGAAGAACAGTGAAAAAGTCACCCGCGATACCTTTCAGGATTGTCGCGTGCATTTTCTCCGACAACCTTTCTCGAAATAGCTGTATACAGCTATTGTCGGGAAAAATGTGCCCGCGACAATCCCGAAAGGTAACATGGGATATGATGAATACACTGTTCCTGACACAGTTGCCGTCGAATCTACTTTTGTTGCTTTCCTTTAGCACTCACAAACATACGCCGATGGCCTCTCCTCTTCTTTCAAATTTCTTTGAACAACAGTGACCTCAAAACCACCCACAATACCTTTCGGGATTGTCGCGTGCACTTTTTCCGACAACCTTTCTCGAAAGAACTGTATATACGCGATACGTGGGCCATTGCACGGACTCAATAAAAACGAAAATATTATCAATGCTGGTTGCTGGGTACTTTTAATTCCCAGCAAGAAAAACCAGTCCGTACTAATCGCAAAAATTAGTTCCCAAAAAACACAAAAAATCGCCATTTCGTGTCATTTACTTGGAGTCTGGGTAGCCTGTGGTATCTTTCCCACATCTACACGCGCGCCTCGGAATTAGATGAGTTTCGTCTCGCCTCGGCTTTCGTGTGCTGAATTTTTGGGCTCAATGAGCGTATTTATTTGTCTACTGGCGACGTTCATGTTGCGCTTATGATGGATCACTATAATATTTCTACTCCTATTAAGATATATGAGCTGCACGGAAATGTTTCATGGACTTGCCAGACGGAAGATGAGGGTTCTGGATGGGGAAGTGTGCAACTATTTCACAGCCAGCCGAAGAACGTCTTCCGTATTGGTGTCAGGAAATCGACAGGAAAAGCGAAGGGGGTGAGTTGAAGTATTTTTTTTACAATTTATCTGAAATGGGCTATTGCATTTAATATCCGTACCCCTGGTTGAGGACCTATCTTTTCTTCTTACACGTCAAGATTAAATAAAATTGCATTCACCCTTCAAGACTTCATAAAAATTGTGGGTTTACCCCTGAAGATTGTGGGTCCTACCTATGAAGAATAATTATAAGTGTACCCCTGAAAAATATGGGTGTACTTGGGTGTAACCCTGAAGAATATGAGTGTACCCCTGAAGAATATGGGTGTACCTCTGAAGAAGTTTGTGAAAAGTAAAGCTCCACTCCAAAATAATTCCATAGTTTTTGACTCTACCCCTGAAAAAATCACTGAAGAATTCCATGGTTCCTCAATTGAGGGGGGGGGGGGGGTGATAGGGTATTAACTGCAATAGCGCAATAGGAGACTGTCTCTTTACTAGAAGTACGTGACTCACAGAATGAAGTTACCTGCGATTAGGCAGTCCTTCTTCCCTTTTTATATGGGAGG